ACAGGGATTAACTCCTTTGCATATTCTTTGCATGAGAAATGGGGTCGACGAAAATTTGCTTGAGACATTCTTTAAGATGTGCGACGGTGAGCATCAAACAATACAAGTTAATGCCCAGCACAAGTTGGGCAACACACCGCTATGCACGACTCTAAAGAGCAAAAATGAGAAGGTGGCCGAATTCCTATTGAGAAGAGGTAGCGACCCAAATTTGGTTGACGAAAGTGGATCGACTGCGCTGCATATTGTTTGCAAGTCTAACAAATTTTTTCACAACGGGGAGTTCTTGTCGAAGAAGTTGTTCAAGATAATCGACGATAACCAGCAGACATATGTCTCATGTCACGGTGAGTTGAACACAAATTTGTGCATGTTTCCCGGAACAGCTGGTAATCAATCTCATATTTTTTCTTCGGAGCATTAGTGTTTACATATTCTTAAAAAAAAATTTAATTAATGAAAATTTGGCTTGTAAATGTACAATTTTAAAAGTAATTGAATATTTACCTTCGACGGCATCATATATATTTTCAGGAATTGCTTCCCAGCCCCCGCCTCCTGTAGCGGACAATTTCCCAAGCGCCTTTTCCCCCATTATATAGCGCATCAAAGCGCGCACGAGCATTTTCGGATCTGTGTAATGACGCCGATGCATCTTTTCAACTTTCCGCCTGCTGACCATCACTCCCGATCCCTTAGTCAACTCCATCTAAAATAAAACATAATAAAAATATATTTAAAATTCATATCATTATATCTATGATAAATCTTACCAAATCAGAATTCGAATTTTCTTCTTTACTCGTTTTTGATAGAGCAATAGCCATGAATCTCTGCACGATTAATTTTGAAGCTGACTCTGAATCCTCTGAAGCCTCTGAACGTTTTAAATCAAAGCACTCAAGGATACAGTAGTAACATTATAAACACTAATTAACAGTACCTTACACTTCACAAACTTCAAACGATGAAACTTGTTTCCACATAGCATATTTACAAAATACATTCAATCTGATGACAGTTATCTAAACATCTAACATCTGAGGACAGCCAACCTAAAAATGGATGCAGCACCTGAAATATAAATTGTACCACAAAGTATCACTTTCTTCCCAAGTATATATCTCTGTATTTATGTATATGATATATTATTATTAGTAGGAATGATTTCATTTTGCTTAGTAAACAAATTACTTATCTGATAAACTCTATGTAAAATAATGCTGCAATACTGCTCGGCTGCGGGCGATGCCATCACAGAGCACCAGAGAGCCTCTGCTGCGCACTGACACCAATGGTTATGTTGCCTAGTGATCGCTTTGACAGCAGCCGAGCAGTATTGCAGCAGTATTTTACATAGACTTTATCAGATAAGTAATTTGTTTACTAAGCAAAATGAAATCATTCCTACAAATAATAATATATTATATACATAAATACAGAGATATATACTTGGCAAGAAAGTGATACTTTGTGGTACAATTTATGTTTCAGGTGCTGCATCCATTTTTAGGTTGGCTGTCCTTAGATGTTAGATGTCTAGATAACTGTCATCAGATTGAATGTATTTTGTAAATATGTTGTGTGGAAACAAGTTTTGACGTTTGAAGTTTGTGAAGTGTAAGGTACTGTTAATTAGTGTTTATAATGTTACTACTGTATCCTTGAGTATTTTCCTCATAAAAAGCTAAAAAAATTGAAAATTTTGAAAATAGTCATAACAGCTTTTTTCAATATGCCAAAGGAAAGTGTTTTATCCAATAAAACACTTAAAAATTGAATAATTGTAGCCCCTCTGGAGCCTTTAGTGTGCTGTATTTATTTAATGTTATAATTATATGATTATATAATTATATGTTATAATTGTATGAAAGATGAAAAACTTTTTTAATTTTTGTTGCAGTATTTAATTTTCTTCATGGAAGTGCAAACTGTAAAGACCCACCATTACAAAATAAGATCAAGACATGGTTCATTTGATTGAAAAAATGACCAAATTTACAATAAAATGATAAAAATGACAAGAAAAATTTTTTTTGGACTTACAATTAAAAATAATTTCATTTAATTAAATACAATAAAAAACTATATTTAGGAAAAATAAGTTCACACCTAAACAATGACATGATTCCATCGAAACTTAAGGTGGTATTTATCGATTCAACGTCAGATGATGTTTTGTCATGACAAGTCAGATGATAAATCATCTGACTTATCACTTGATTTATCATCTGATTAATCATCTGACTTTTTTTGATAGGGTTCCCATGCCGATTATGGGATTGTTGGGCTCGTACTAGCCGAAGCTCATGCGGAAGCTGAATATCCAGTAGGTGAAGCCGCCCAGGACGATGTCCACCACGTTCTTCATCATGATGTTGACCTCGTTCTTCAACATTCCGAAGCCTGTATGTACACACGTGCAAAAGGAAAAGTCGCAAAGTCGCAACGACACTTGGCTTGAATTTTTTGATGCGCGGCGGCATACCTGTTTGCATAGTAAATATCATAAAGGCATTGGAGACGATCCAAGAGCTGTCTTCCTGGGTGAGCTTGAACGCCGAGATAACGTAAGGCACGCTTGCCGTCGAGACGTTCGTCGTCGTGTCATTGCTCATGATGGAAATAGGCATCTGACGAGTGTGGGTAGCGAAAATTGAAAAAAAAAGGAGAGAGAGAAAATGAAAGGTAACGAGGCAGTCGCGGACATATCGATCGTGCCTGCTGCTGTTGTGCAAAACAAATTAATTATGAAAGAACTTAAAAAGGTAATCAGGCGCATCGCGATCGATGTAAAGTTACTTACTAGTACCTTGCTAAATATAGAGATAATTCTGTAGTGCGCGCGCGGCGAGCTACGGAGGATTCGGACAAGGTCGGAGAAGAGCTTTTGCAGGTCAACTTGCAGGACAGAACGGGTAACGCACCGCTGCTTTTGGCTCTGACTCGTGGCCACGCGCGCTTCGCGGATCCGAACGTGTGCAACCTCGCAAGAGAGTCGGCTCGAGCGTTTCTTCGAGGTCTGCAAAGCCTTGGAGAATACGATGCTGGTCAATGTCTAGGACGCGACGAGTCGCACGGCCCTGCATTACGCTCTGTCGCTCGGCCTCGAGAAAACGATCAAAGTCCTGATGAGAGCAGGTACCAATCCGAATCTAGACGACGTCAATGAAAAAACGTATATCTGCACTACGCCACGTCGCGCGCGACGGAAAGCGCGTTGGCAGATCTTTTGCCCAGCTGCCGTAACAACTATCAGCCGGTGGACGTCGACGCGAGGGACAACATGGACTGGACGTCGCTGCACCATGCCATAAACCACGGCCACAAGAGGGTGATGGAGTTGCTGCTGAGAGAAAATGCCGATCCGAACGTGGCCAGCAAAACACACAGTTTCAACATTTTATTTGCCGATGCATAAATGTGTTGACATTTTCAAATTCTCCAATGTTTCAAATAAAACGTTTGTCTTGAGTTATTTTTGAAAAAAATAATCTTTAATACGGATTTTTATAAAAAAATTTACACTTGCGTTAAACGAATTGTTTTACAGTGTACAGTTTCGAAAAAACTTTACTTCAAATAAGATATTAGTAAAGCGCTATACAGCCTGTAAAAAAATAATTACGTGTTCCAATTCAGTTTGCAGTAAATTGAATCAATTTTATTTACAAATTTTTCGTACTGCGTGAACTAATAATAGTTATAAAAACATTTAAACATCGGTAAAACCCAAAGAAGGATAGGTCCCCAAGAAATAAAAAATTCAAGACATCGACAAGTAACATTGTAGGTGAACACGGTTTCCATTCGATTAAAAACGCTTGGCGCCATCTGTAGTTTTAAAGTGTAATTGACGTACAGCGACACCCGCTGGATTTCGTACGCTTGCTTTTAGCAAAATTACACTTCGTCTACTGGCGAATACGCATGTTCGTACATTCGCATGAAACACCTTATACAAACAAGTTTAGGATTCTTTTTTTATATTAATAGCTGATAATTGTGTAGGAAAATTTGCATTTTTTTTTGACAACTTATTACTTGAACCTCGCGGTTTGAGTACATTATAATTACTCCATTCGGTTTATTAATCTTGTATATTTTCAAGGAATTTTCGTTCAAGTGCGTTCGCCTGTTAGGGCCCCCCGCCTCACTTAACTAATTGCAGGTTAAGGGACAGAAATTGTTCGACAAAAATTTATTTACATGAACATATTTGAATAAAGATGATCTTTACTACATCTTTACTAAATCAGCTTGTGTTAATTCCTGATCTCCCTCTGCTATCTCGGCATAAAAATTTCTACTACACATTTCCCAATAGTTGTACAGATGAAAGGTCGGTTTCATATTCCACAGTATAAAATACGTCACTTCTGTACGTAGGGAACATGAATTGCGAAGTTTTCATTATTGCCACCAGGATTACCTCAATGTTCTCTACTATGAAAGAAACCGAATGATTATTTTTTATTTCGAATTATTTAGTCGTGAAATATCAGTACTTGTCATATTTCCAGTACAATGAAGTTCTTTCTATATTGATGATACAAATGAGCTTATAAGTTATAATTTAGGCTAAATCATCAACTATCGATGAAGGAAAAAAACATTTACAATTTTTCAATACTCCAACCATGTATTTAATCTTCTCAAATCGATTGAGTGCTCCATTCATCGTTATCTATATTTAATTGAGTAAATTGAGTAATCAATTTTTGTTTTATTATAAAAATAATTTTCAATGCTATATTAATTTCATGTGATAAAAAATGGGCTAGTAGAGCACGCATTAAATGTATCTTTTCTTAATTCAATCAAAACTATTCAAAAATGAATTATTGAGAATTCATCAAAGCAACCAGTATTTTTTATTTAGTCAGAATTTATTAGATTATACTTGTTAACTTGAATCGAAATATTTTATTCAACCTTTTATGAATAAAATTATGTCAATCATTGTTCATTAAAAAAAATCACAAAATGATGTGAATAAAAACTCATATCAAAATTTTAAGAATTATTGGTTTAATTTCGTTTTTAAATATTTACTGGACGATTATAAACAATTCATGTTATTACTAGAAGTTCTTACTAAAACGTATGGATGAGTTACGAATAGAAAAATTATTTGAAAATTCATTAAATTTCACCACAATCTATTTGGACTTTTGACTTGAAGAGTTAATTTTAACTTTTAATTTTATTTATCTGTAGTTTAATGAAATATTATATCAAAGTGTAATTTGCCAATTTTTTTAAGATGAATTTGTTCCATGTACTTGAACAGCTCAATAAAGATGTCCACAGTTTCTTCATTCAACTTTAACAATGAATAGCTGCTAATGCTAAATTGTTTGAATCACAGAGAGTGATAGCTTCTCTGGATTGTTTATATTTGCATGGACCATGGTTAAAGAAAAACCTAACTCCATTCGTGTTTATGACTCAGATGGATATAGGCTCAGAGCTGCATGTATTTGTGTTAAAAATGATTTAGAAGATGAGGTATGTTATATGGTATTGAAGTATGTAACATTTATTACATATGGAAAAAAAATCATTTTAGGTCTTATTAGTAACTTCAAGTCGTAGACCAGAAAATTGGATTGTACCCGGAGGCGGTGTAGAACCAAAAGAAAAGCCAGCTGAAACTGCTTTAAGAGAAGTACATGAAGAAGCTGGAGTTCTGGGTCAATTGGGTAGATGCTTGGGAGTTTTTGAGGTACTTTCATATTTAATATCCTGTTAATTGCAGTAGATCTAAATTTTTTTATAAATTAGTACTTCAGAAACTACTTCAGAAAAAATTAATCGAAACTTAATTGTGACAATTGATTTCAAAAGTTCTATTCAAAAGTTTGAACAATGATTTTCTATCTAAGCTTAAATAATACCTTAATTTATAATATATTATAATATATTACAACTAAAAACAATTATATGTTAATATTGATTTGAACGCCAAACAAGCTGCACAACAATAAAAATTTTTAGTTTCACTTTTGATCTAAAAAAAAGTAACTTAAATTCCAGGCTTTAATAAAATCTTCACAACTTTTTTAAATACTTTTTAAAGTGCATTATTTATGGAGATAAACTAATTTTATAACAAAAACCATCTATTAATATAAGTAAGTCTATGTACATTAAATCAATGAAATGGAAAAGAACATTGCAAGGAAAATTTACATTTTTAGCAAAGAAGTATAACAACAGATTGTTTTGCATAACAGAAAGCATGGCATCCTATTTATTTTACACTAGATCTACAACTTACAATAAAATGCAATAAAATTGCTTTTTAGATTTTTTCAATTTTGTATAGGAAAACTTGAATTACAAATCTCTTTGTTGGGTGGTAATTTATAACTTTTACGGTAGATGTCTTCAGATAGGAAAGCTGACCATGAATGATTATTTAGAAAAATATACTATGACCGTTAAAAATATATTTGTTTGAACATCTTACAATTCTTTAGATAATGATGCATCTTGGTTTCTATATCCGATAACCATATAACATGGAAATAGTATAACTTTTGGTTATTCAAAAGTAGTAATTTACTGATAGAAAGTAGTGAATCATTGGTATAAATATCCTATTTACTTCTGTCCTGCTTTTTACTTTATACTTTACAAAATCTTCTCAACATTATTTAAATGAGTTAATTGTTAATTTTGTATCTAAGAAGCTAGATTTAATCATACATTAGAACAAATTTTCAAGAGTTTTTCGATCCCAGCCTGTGTCCAAAACCCAGCTTTTTAATTCAGTTTTAAAAAGTTTTTAACAGTTTAATTATATTTTTCCAAGCGAAGAAAAAATTAAATCAATTATTGGCAATAAATTTTAGCTAGTTCTAAGTTTGAAACAAAAAATGGGTGAATATGTACAAAAGTATTGTAAAAATGTTGTAAAAGTGTCCAAAGTTTTACAAAAGTCTATAAAGGTTATATTATTCATTTTTTTTATGTTTCATCTGACTTGAAATAACTAGCTAGTTTTGAGTTAAAAAGAATTTGTAATAGTTAATTTTTTTTATGTTTCATCTGACTTGAAATGACTAGCTAGTTTTGAGTTAAAAAGAATTTGTAATAGTTAATTTTGTAACATCAAGTACACAATGAAACTAAAATGCCTTAAACTTTTGATAAACCATTATAAACTTTAATTCAATTCCAAAATCCAACCATTTCTTCAAGTTCATAAAATTGTGTAACTGTTTTCAAAATTTTGTAACATTTATGCACAATTTCGATACCAATTAAGGGTTGCAAAACAATTTGTTTTTATGTTTCTTGAAATAAGACACATATTTTATTCTATTTAGCTATTATTCATTTTAAGGAAATTTTTCAATATATTATAGCTATTGTCTTCATAAGCAATGCATTATGATTTTTTTAATAGTCTTTTAAGGGGGGGGGGNGGGGGTAGGGTCTTATCTAAATTTAAAAAAAAAATTTTTTTTTTCTTTGAACATATAATAAATCGAATTGATCTATAAATCATACACATAATTAATAGTTATTTGAAAAATATTCAGTTAAGTTTTCAGCCCAAAATACTGAAAAATAAGCTGGCTACAGCAAATTTTCACATGCAAAAAAACATCCGGTGGACACCATCACTCAAAATCTACTCGACCGATCAACTTCATATTTTATACACTATTTAAGTAGATGATATATGAGGTAACGACATCGAGATATTTTAACTATTTGCATTTTTAAATGCTTTTTACGAACAAGTACGATGAATTTTCGTCTTCATTTTGTCAAAAAAGTCATTTTTTTCACTTCAAAATGATACCGAAAACTCAAAAATTATTTTAAACGAAATATCTCGACGTCATCACCTCATAATTTATGTAGATAAATAGTGAGAAAAATTTGGAAAGAATCGGTAGAGTAGATTTTCAGTTACACTGTCCACCGCAATCGATCTTTTTTTTTCAGTTTTGCGAGAAAATTTGCTGTAGTTAGCTTATTTTTCACTATTTTCCGCTGAAAATTTAACTGAATGTTCTTCAAATAACCATTTCTAATGTATATAATTTATAGATAAATTTATTTTACTAACCATCGAACAAGACCCTACCCCCCCTTAATTGAAACAGAATCGTTCTTATTGACTTATGCAGAAAGTTTGTACTTAAAGTAGTAATTAAAAACTTTTATTAGCAATTAAATGTTCATATCAAGAAATCAATTATTAAATAATATGAATGTAGTACTTGTTCAAAAAATTATTCAATTGGTATAGAATTAAGCCGGATTTTACGCTTAGAAATCGATTTTTATTTTTAATAATTTTGGGAGACTAAGCTACATTTCCAGGTATATTTTGAATAATCCAGCGGGATTTTCGATCTAGATTTTCGAATTTCCGATCCAGCTGAATTCCAATTGAATCCAACTAAATTTCGATGTGGATTTTTCACCTGGTAGTAAAACCTAGAGGGTGGATAGTTAAGGAGGTTCCCACGCCTACCGCGCTAGTCAAATCCATATTTAAGAATTAAGGGGAGGTTCTCATCTAGCAATTACCCAAAAATGACGTGATTTGCGCGATTTTTTTTCTCATGAAAGGAAGTAAATAAAGAAGTCATATTTTTAGTACATATTAACATGTTATTTACTACTTTTAAAAATATACATTTAAAAAAATAGTTTCATAGTAATATGCATTGAAACATGGTGATGAAAAAAAAAAACACCTCCATTAGCACCAAGATAACTCAGCTAATTTTTGTCCGAAATCAAAAAGGCAAAGTGTGTTATAAACTAGAAGACATTTGCTGGATCTTGGACTATAATTACGAAGAAAAGTTGATAATTCACAAAACGGCAGACTTTCGAAAAAAAAATTTTTTTTTTGCTTTAAAAAGAGCTGTAGCAATAGAAATAATGATTGTAAAATTATAATTATAGTCCAAGATCAAACAAATTTAATAACCTTTATGATAAAAAAAATTCATCTCGATATCTATAATAGTTTTTGAGATATCTTAGCGCCCGTTTCAAGAAAAACGCGTTCAAAGTTGTTAACTGCCATTAAAGCTGTAATCTGGCCTCTATTGGCAATATAATCTGTACAAAAAATTAAACATCATCTTATAATGCTAGTATTTCAAGAAATCCGACTTTTCCCAACTATCAGATATGTACTATTATTTTTGAAAGCGATTTTTATCACCCTGCGAACATGATTTTTATTGTTAAATTTAATTTCTAAAGTAATCTCAACATTTTATGATTTAACTTTTTGTCGAAACTACCCCTCGATCAACGAGATGCCATAAGAGCACATGTTAATTAGACAGTTGAATATCTTAAACTCCTAATCGATCTATAAATTTATGGGTGCTATCTTTGTGATATCACAAACGTATGTATGCAAAGTTTCACAAAATTCTCACTTTTTTTTAAAATCACCATAACAGCCTTAAGCGCTGTACAAGTGATTACTCTCAATCCTGTGTTGGACCGACTAAAAATTCGAAATTACATGCGAAATTGTAGCCAGGGATTCTTGAAAGTATAAGCAATTCGAAAATACAACAAAAAAATTGATTTTTTGGTCGAGCTCGATGAGAATCTTCTCTTAACGTGGGCCAAGTTAACTGACTCGTCGCCTGCTAACCCTAACAAGTGAAAAAAAGACCGAAAAAGTCTTGGTTTCGTGTCTTCGATTCTATAAATATTGAAAAAATCACTGATTATCCGACTTTTAAGACACACTCTTAGAAATAAAAAAACTTTGTCTTCCATCTGTATATAATTATGCCTAAAAGAACTTTGATTTTTTTTTCAATAAATTGTAAAAATATATAATAGATTCAGTTTGTATGTATTTCCATGTAAGCCCACATTAATTTTCGAATCTTTGAACTTATTTTTCTCGAGATTTTGGGTATTAAGCTTCTCAGGATCATCGCTTGGTAACCTCTTTAAATACTGAAATAGATAACATGACATTCTGTCTTCTAAATTATATGCATAGTAAAATATTCATTTTAAATATTGACTAAGTAAATTTTAAATATTAACACAAAATCAAATTTTTCTAATGCGAATAAAATTCATCTTATGCAGAATGATGAGCATAAACATAAAACTCAAGTGTGGGTCATGAGGGTAACAGAAGAATTACCGGAGTGGGAAGATTCACGATCAATTGGAAGAAGAAGAAAATGGTTCTCCATTCCTGATGCACTTATTCAATTAGCTCAACATAAACCTGTACAGCGATCTTATTTGCATAGTTTACACAATACAAATCCAAGTCATAATGAATCCAGCATGACACTTGTTCAATATCAATTAACACCTCTTTCTCCGATCTCTTTAATCAATAATTCTGCTAGTACTATTCATGTAAATGAGCAAAATCATTAAACAATCATTTCTACAATTCATTGTTCTTAGTGAATGAATGGGACTCGTTTTTACCTGATGAACCAATACATTATATGAAAAAATTATTGTTTATTTGATAAGTAACCTTTATAAATAGTAACTTGTTTGGAGATTTTAAAATAAAAAATTTGTAACATTCACCTTGTCTCATTTATTTTCCATATTTTTTTATCACAACATTTTTTAGCATAATATAGTTATGATTAAAATTATTAAGGGCTCAATGTACCTTAAATGTTACCTTTTTGTAAAAATTTGCCAATTCCACAACTAGAGCAGATAGGTGTATTTTTTATTTGGATATCAAGAAAAATATTTGATAAGGTATAACTACCCCACTAAATAAAATCACATGAGAAATCAAGCCATAAAATCACATGACGTTTCAGATTATGACGAGACATTTCCGTATTCACGTCATTTGCATTAAAAACTAGTCATTTTATGTGGATTGAAGAATAGATCGCAAAAAAAATTTTGCCCTTATTTTTGTGGCAAATTTGATGAATATGGATCCTCTGCCAAAATTATAAAAATTTGAACAGGCAAACACAATTCAAAACTATCTTAATAAATTCTATAGAAAATTCTGAAGAAATAGTGCAGCGCAAATTTCCCCACAGAAAATTTTACAGAACCTTTTGCAGGAACTATTCTACAGAACTTTTTCGTTATTTTTAATGGTTTTATAATGATATTTTTTGTTATGAGTTTTACGCAGATGATGTGAGGAACACAATCGGAAGTCTCAAATTATTTTTTTCATCGAGATATCGCCTAAAAATACTAACGAATATACCTAATCTACACATATAAAACATCAAGTTACTGATTATTGAACAATTGCACGTCATCAGCGATCGCCCGCACATGACTAAAAGCCCACCCGCGTACTAACCCTGTCACTATTTCGGAGGAGCGCGCCTAATAACCACCATTGCCTCCACAAGGATAATACGACAAGCGCCTGGAAATACTTTAGGAGATAGTAGGTCCAGTGGGATCAGTTGTATGTACACTGGCCGCGGACTAATTTTGTCCATAGAAACACGGATTTGGTCGGTAAGGAACATGTATAAGCGCATTAGACTGATTAAAAAAAATCGAAGGTCTTCGAAAACCAAATTTTACATTTAACCCATTAACGCGCAAAGATGCAATTTTGTGCATGAATTTTCCGTTGTAAGAAAATTATAGATAAAGTTGGAATATTTTCTTGAAAATCCATATCCAGAGGTTTTTGGGTATGCTCTTTCAGTATCCGGTGTTATTTTTGCGATAAATAAACATTATAATCGTTTATTTTGCAATTAAAAACAAAAAACGTGATTTTTTGGCTTGAAATTTTTTTTCAAAGTCGATTTTCTACCTTGCCCTGCTTTCAGAGGGTTCCCATAACACCAGAAATCGTGCACTTTTTCTCTGAACCTTCAAAAAATGCGCTGCCGCGATTTTTATCTTGCCCCTATATTTCTAAAATGGCGAATTTATACCGAGCAGCGATATGAAAATTGCCTTATTTTTTATTTGTAAATTATTGACTTTATAAAAGAAAGTCATACAATGAAAAGTGTTCAAATTTGTTCAAAGAATACATGTGAATTTTTTTTAGAATTTTTTAATAATTTTTTCAAAATTTTTCAGATTTTTTTTGGAACATTTTGGATTTTTTCGACAGGCCGGGAAATGGTCGTATTTTGCAAAATTTTCAAAGTGGTCTGAAAAATTCTGAAAAAATTCACACGTATTCTCTAAACGATTTCAAATAAGTTTTTACACTCCAAATTGTACTTTTGAGTTCATATTTAGCGCATGTAAAATAGGTTCTGAGTAAAAAATGAGTGAATTTTTATACCGCTGCTCGGTATAAATTCGCCATTTTAAAAATATAGGGGCTAGATAAAAATCGCGGCAGCGCATTTTTTGAAGGTTCAGAGAAAAAGTGCACGATTTCTGGTGTTATGGGAACCCTCTGAAAGCAGGGCAAGGTAGAAAATCGACTTTGAAAAAAAATTTCAAGCCAAAAAATCACGTTTTTTGTTTTTAATTGCAAAATAAACGATTATAATGTTTATTTATCGCAAAAATAACACCGGATACTGAAAGAGCATACCCAAAAACCTCTGGATATGGATTTTCAAGAAAATATTCCAACTTTATCTATAATTTTCTTACAACGGAAAATTCATGCACAAAATTGCACTTTTGCGCGTTAATGGGTTAAACCGAAATTTTGCAAATGTTACTTCAAAAAAGTTAACTTAAATTTCTTTTCAGTAGCTCCAATAGATTTCTCAGAATCTTGTAAAGAGTGAGGAAAACGTGTTTTTTGAGAACTCGAGATGCCGAATTACTGAATTTTCAGATACAAGAACGCATCCCACAAACATAGCTGTATCTCGGAAAAATTGAGACCGTTTTTAAATCTGATACGGTGTTGGAAAGGCGATATAAAAACCTATCAAACACTGCATTGACATTTTTTCCATGGGTTTGGCTATTCAGGGGAAATTTGTATACAAAATTTTTGATTTTCGTGTACGAAATTCTGAAATTGGTAAACGAAACTCCAAATAACCCGGAATAACTCTATTTTCGTGTACGAAAATCAAAAATTTCATGCACGAATTTCCCCTGAATAGCCATTTCGTTTTTCCATAGGTGATCGTGCTGAGCCGACTTTTCTCGATTTACACAAAAACTACGTTTTTCGGAACTGAATTGCTCATAACATCTGTAATAATGCATCAATCTCAATTTTGGCGCCGTAATCTGAAAGATAATAACATTTTGCATCGAAATACATGTCGCTCATAGTTGTTAAATTTTTTGTGGGTAGGCTCAGAGATTTAAAGAGTAAAAATAGATTGTCAAATCTCATTTAAATCGGAAATCAAAATGCTTGTTGAGCGACCAGTAAAAATTATTTAAATGAGTTGAAATTTTTGATGTTTGAGGCTTCATTTTTAGTCATATTAAAGAAATGAAGAATGTAAAATTTAGTTTTTGAAGACCTTCGATTTTTTTGAATCAGTCTAGTGTACAAGGGCCGATGGATGTACCAATTGATCCCAAACATAAAAAAATGGCTTACAATTTAATACCAAGAGCCACACATGAATATCCATGAATGTTTCGATTGAACTTACCTCAAAATGTACGTCAAAAGTTTGACTGACGAGTATATTGTATCATCTACATTGATAATTTGTGTTCTACACAAATTGATTAATAATTCTGCATGTATTCATTCCATGGAAATCTAAGCAATTTTCACAATTGGGATTTTTCTTATAAGAATTGAAAAATGTAGTAATTGTTTTTTTTATATTTTATTTTATAATAAAAAAATGGAAATTACATTTACATGCTTTGTTAAAGTACAGTATCTACATGTTTCTAAATCACTAACTTTTACTATGAAATTGACTGTCATCGTTCAAAAATTTTTCTTTTTTCTTTGCAAACCTTCTGGCCTCAATTAGAAACAAAATTCCACCTGCTAATAATATAAAACTTCCAACAACAGCTAAAGCATATGACCAACCAACATCATTGTGCTCCCAATTAGGCATCCAATCCCTACCATCGCCTTTAGCTCCAAATATTATTACAGACACAATTCCACACGTAGCAGCTATAGTGAAACTTATTCCAATACACCACATTAATATATTATATTTCTTTTGTTGTCGTGAATAACATGAACAAAGTATTGCCAAAAGTATGCCACATAATTGAAACGTAATGCATAATGTGAAAAAGAATTGAGTCGCACGAAAAAATGTTGGTAATGTCGTTTCGTAAATGATTTTGGAGTCTTCTTTGAAAATCCATGAACATCCTCTATACTCGTAGTCATACCAGTGCCTGACATCTTGAAATTCTTTAAAACATATTTGCCATAAACCTGAAATTATAAATAAAATAAATGATATGAAATGATAATGAAATAAATCATTTTTTTAGTTGAAATATCAGTAATACAGGTTTGTTTGGATGATGGATTGATTATTTAGTAACATTAAAAATAAAAAAGAGTAAAAAAAATGTAAATAAATTTCAGGGTTGATGGTGAGATTATGGAAAGTTTTGGATTCTGATTGTTTTTAGAGACTCAAAAAATGTAAGTATTTTAATTCATGTATAAGTATACGATAACAAAATTATTAAAATTTGAAATCATTTTTAATTCCGGGATATGAACAGAATTTAAAAAAATGAAAAATATAGTTTCTAAACCCACCACAATCCCATAAATTGTTCAACTTCTTATTTAAAACTTTTTTATCAGTATATTTCAAAAATGATTTTAGTTATAATATCGCTCCATTTAAAAAATTAATCTTAGAATTACAATCATGAAAAAAATTTGAATTTACATATGAATGTAAAATTGATCTACAAATATTGTATAAATCTGGAGAGCAAGTAGCATAAAATATTGAATTCTTAATTAAAATGTTTTTTCTTAAATGAGGAACAAATAAATACACTTATTATGCTAACATAAATCATTGATCTAGTTCATTGAACTAAGTAACACATACTCAAATAAACCTCCATCAACTGAATGTTTGTTCTTTTTGTAACTTATAAAATGGAGTAATAGGTAAATAGTTTTTTAGTGGTATTAAACTATTTTGCATAAACATTACAATTTTATCTATCAATAATAAATTTTGTATAAATAAAATCTCCATATAAAATCTATAACAATAAATAATTTTTTTAAATTGTATTGAACAAATTCGACCCACATGCAATTAAGCAAATGATTATTGATTAAAAAGGCTCATTGCTTTTTACACTGTTAAAATGTATGTATGGATTTTCATGAAAATTAAAAAATAACCGAATGTTTCAAATAAATACCAATAATTTCAAAAATTGTTTTAATAATAAGTTTCAAAAATTGATCATTATTTATTATCCTATAACTTTTCACTTGTCTTAAATTTCACTAATGTATCATTAAATATTTATTTCTTAGAAAAAAGCACCATTGAATCGGATAATAGAAAAAGCATATCAATCTAATTCTATTTTTAAACTTAAATATACATAAATAAATTTATTCATTACCGAGTTGTTCGAATTTTGGCTTTTCCAACTTTCCGTCAGTTTCAAGCCAGTTGGGCGTGGTGAATGCAATAAGCAAAAATATAAACGATATGGCTGTACATACCGCTGCCACTTTTTCAACACGAGATTTATTCATAGTAATTAAAAATAAAATTGTAATCGAACAAGCGATTAATTTAAATTAACTTTTATTTATTGAAAATAGATGTTCAAATATTATGAAGAATACTGTGATTCATAGCAGCGTTCTTGACAACTGCAACAATCAACAATGTACTGTTATGCCTGATATTGTAAGGGTGTGGCTACAATATATATAATGTAATGCAATTTTTCACCTGAAATTATTTATACCGTGTTCACACTCTTACAGCAGTTATGACTCAGGCAGGTCGGATGCTTTACCTGTGAGAGCGATGCTCACGCTCGTAGTGGTAGTATTGTAAATTTTTATACCTTAAAACTAATATCAAATGTTTGTTCGTCAATGGCCCAATCATTGCATTTTTGAGCAGTAAAGCACATATTGAATTTAAAAAAAAAGTTTAAAACGCTTCATGACCAAATTTTTTTTATAAATTTAAATGTATAGTATAAGTGCTAAGCATCTTTGAGATTCCTGCTTTTGAGATAGATCTAATTTACCGGTTTAATTTCATACAATTTTTTCACTGTCATGCCGAAATTAAAATCTGATTCTCAATTTTTATGGAAATTTACAATGAATACAACTATTCTTTTAAACTAATGTTGACTAACGTTTTTTTAAAACGGACTTTAAAAACATTTATCTCGCAGTGGTCGAAAACTAATTAGTGTCTAATTAATGACAATTCTTGATGCGGGATGAAATAATTTCATACATACAAGACTCATTTTTGTAAATTGTTCTTGTAAAATGTAATTTACAATTGCACATTTATTTTAGTGTGCAATTTTTATGAAAAAATCAAATCATTATGTCCATCGAAATAGTAAATCTAAATAGAATTGCCACATAGTATTTATCATTATTCTTTTAAACTTTTGTATATAATACAAAGTAAGGTTTTAATAAAAATAAGTATTTTTTGTTTTACACCCCGACCGACAAGTTTGAGGCATGCATACATATTTGTAGAAGAACCTTAATTGTGAGGGCTTTGTGTCACACATCGGTATTTTCATTGAACAAATAATAGATGTTTTAATGATTCCAGAATTATTTATTAAAAATAATTGTAGTAAAACTTGTGTTGAATAAGCTGTTTTTTACGCTACTTATTTGATATAAGAAGTTGGTAGAAACTAATATCAAATCGTTTAAAAGTGTGAGTGATTGATAAAAAGTCTTGTGAAGTCTGTTGTGTTTTAATAGAATATATCGCGTTTCCGATTTGATATGGTTTAAGTAAATGCATATTGTTTGATTAAATTTGGATTGAAGACAACAAGATATAACTCGAAAATTTTTCCTGTGCTTCATCGAGGTATGGTGCTATCATTGATTTGAGTCAAATTGTGTCAAAAATGTGTCTTTCTATGCTTTGTACATAATTATGAAATGATCATTTATGTAAAAATTGTGCCTTAACTCCAGTGGTTCATGTAAATAACATGGTTTAACCAAAATTTCCAATGTTTTTCAAAGTATATTAACAAATATTGTTTTTATATTAATGGGCAATTAGAAACTAATTTTGCTTAGGGACTCATGCTAATTGTTACGCTAACTATCAATCTAATAATAAAATCAAAAGCTTTAGCCAATCTTTTAAAAACAAATATTTGGTATTAGCTTAAACATGTGTCATTGAATTAAATTTCACAACATAATTAAAAAATTTACAATACTTATTACAATTTCATATATTGTATTCTATATATTTCAAAATGTTGTACAACATTGCAAGTGATGGAATATTTATCATTCATTAACCACTTTTTTAAAATGAATGAATAAATGAATCAGAAATCATGTTGATTTCATTATTTCTGGGATTATAAGCAATTTGACATTTTTTCAATTTTATATGGTTTGTATCATTCTGATCTCATATAAATTTGAATCATAAGAATTATGTAGATGTAGATAACCAAATCAAACAGATTTTTCTTTTCAATTGATTAAAAGGCATTACAGTTAAATTTAAATAAACATACTGCATTCAATGTCAATTGTCTCTAAATTTTATGACATTTTCTGTAATTCCTTCCATCACAGACTTTGAAATACTTTTTTGTTACGACACTTCTTAAATTTCTAGGTGAAAAATGAGATTAGAACACGTAAGTTGTGCTTCTATGAAGTCATAACATTTTAGTATTTTAACTGAGTCAAGTCTAAAATTGCATGCTAATATTTTGTAAGCTTAAATTTTTTTTCAAATTCCTTATTATTTTGCAAACAATCCCTATATTTTTGAAATTTAAATCAGTCAAATTAATGTTTAGTTTGATTATTGAAAAAAAAATTTTTTTCCAATAATTTTTTCAAATTATTTTTTTACTTGGCCAGCTAGGTGCTACAATATTTTTTGATGTATGACCTAGTTGCGCTATTTTTTTAGTTGTGTTTACAAGTGTTATTGGTAAATAGTCTTGAATAACATTTATAATAAATTTTAATTCAAAATTTAAAGATGTCAATAAATTTTGTAAATTTTTACCTAATAATAATAAAGAAAAAACCATTTTGGGTTGCATTATTAATACATTGTTAGTTACAATTATATTAGTTAAATTTTTTTTTCAATTTAGATAAATTACAAATGATACCGGCCGAGAAATGGCAGTTGACTATGATGACAATTTATATTCTTTAAGAATACTCTTGACACTAATTGATAGGCAACTTTATTTTTTGTATTAGACTCTTGGTTGTTATGAGTATTCAAATTAGAAGATAGATTATGCTTTTTGCGAATTATTTCCAAAATTGTGAAAACTTTTACACTTCAATTTTTTTTTTATTATACATATGTTGTTAAGAAAGGTATCTCAATAAACTTTCAAATGATGCTAAGTTTTTATCTTCTAATCTTTACCTTTGATTTGAAACAGATGTTTTACTAGCTCTTATATAAAATTTTTTGATGCATAAAAGTAGTTTTCAATGAAAATTCAGTAGGATAATTAAAACTGTTTTGTAGTAATATAATGATTTACAACGAAAAAATTATGAGAATAAAAAACATTAAATTGACTTGATTGATCAACATTAAAAGCCAGTTATAGTTAAAGACAAATGTCAATACGGCTCTGGACATACTCTTTTTGTTATTCATCTATCATTTAATTTTTATGTATTTTGGCCCGCTTGGCTCTTTATTCAATTTATATGAATTTTAAAACGGCTTGTTAATAAAGAATCTTCTATTTAATCTAGCTTACGCGATAGAAGACGTATTTACGTGCGTTCTTTAATCAGGTACTGTTATATGTCAGTCGTCAATTTTTTTCCGCGTTTTTCCGATCGAATTGGTCTCTTTAGTTTTTTTTTTTCACTTTGGTTTACTGTTTGCCTATTTGAACCTGACATTCAAGATTATTTTATTGCTTATATTAGTTTTATGGAAGCCTGTGATTTTCCCTATTCAAAATTGGACATATTTTTTGTTTTGGTCTTAGTGCTATTTGTACCAATTCGTTTATTAGTATATTGTATAGACGGCCGAGTCTCGACTAATAAAAACGCGTGCTTTGAGACTTTCTAGTTTTTCACTCCCCAGGTGTAAAATGTACTATTTTAGTTCATAAAAACTCATATAACTTTTTAAAAAACTGACAGTTGTAACAGATTCAAATGATCTTGAAATATTTCAGTTAATTTGTCAACATGAATGATGGTAACGAGGATCGTCGAATTAAAAGTGACAATTCACCTTTAATGGAAGCTGCAATCGCTGGACATGTCGATATTGTAAATTTACTTATAAACCACGGTGCTGAAATAAATGCTCATTCAACATCAGGTTAGTTTTAAACAAAATTTAATGTTTAAATATTGCAAGTGTTATTATTATAAAGTTACGAGGAAATGAAAAATTTTAACTTGATTTTGATAATAGTACTTTTTTACAACGGATGTGGATATGCTGTAACGAGATTTGCTGAAAAAGCTTATTCACAAAAGTTGCATACAATATTTTATAGCACAAGAGCCTAAAAATAGCACCAAAGATGCGATTTTTAGGTTAGAGTGCTATATATTATTATTAAAAAGTGTATTCTGTCATAGAGAACGATCTGTTGTTACTCGCTTCTGCTTTTATGTGTGAGGAAAAGGAGAAAAAACAATTTTTTGTCAAATTAATCGCCCAGTTTCCTAGCAAAGAACAATTGATATTTTTATTCATATCGGCGAGCAATCCCCATGAATTCATTTTTTAGTAAATATTCATATGTATTTAAAAAAATTCCTTTGCTTACTCGTTAAAAATTGAATAATTCAAATTCTGAAAAAGACTGCACATAAAAAGGTGTAATGATACTTTTTTTAGTTGATAATTTTTTTGAATTATTCAAAAAATCCATTTCTAATTGTACCTTAACATTTTTGTGTCCTTTTTTGTACAACTTTGATTTAACACGTATAATATTGAGGAATTACTAATATGAGTAAATCCCATGATTTTTTAATATTTAATGCTCATACGAGGGCGATATGAGGCAATGTGTCCTATAAGAAATCCGCTAAAGGGCAGATGCACCGGGAGCTGTGCTCTGCTGTTTCACTATATCTATATATGAGCGCGTCCAGCATAAGTCGGCCACCCCGCGCGATTACGGCATTTTTGGCCGAAAGTGTCGTATGTTTAGCTCGCTCGGAACCGTTTACCAAGAGTCAGAAAAATAATCCAAACACATGGATCGATAGATTGTTTACTCTTCTTTCTAGTGGTGTAGCTTAAAAAATTCTTAAAATTTGATTTTGAGGTTAAAACTCGACTTGAATGGCAAAAATCTATCGAAAACGATGTTTTCTAGGATGGAGAAATGATAAGAAGTATTAAAGATATCGAGATGAATAGCGCGGGACGGCGCGCGCGGACCTGTTTTCCGTGCGCCAGCAGCGGCACACGCGCGGCGCCGTGCCTTCGTTTTTTCGACTCGCTCGTAATCGCTTCAAAAGGGCTGAAAAAATTATGTTAACATGTAAATCGATAGATTTTTTCCTCCTCTTTCTGATGGCGTTGTTGAAAAAATTCCAAAAAATTTTTTTCATAGTCAAAACTTGATTTGAATTTTGAAGTCAATATTTCTTCAAGTATTTCAATTTTGACCTCAAAATTAACATTACCAATCGAAAGACGAGGAAAAAATCTATCGATTTACGTGTTAACATTGTTTTTCCAGCATTTTTTTAGCGAGTCGAAAAGACATAGGCAGGAAAACAGGTCCGCGCGCGCCGTCCCGCGCTATTCATCTCGATATCTTTAATAGTTCTTATCATTTCTCCATCCTAGAAAACATCGTTTTCGATAGATTTTTGCCTCCTCTTTCGATTGGTGCAGTTTAAATTGCAATCGGAGGATACATTTTTTGGATAAATCGACTTAAACATTCAAGTCGAGTTTTAACCTCAAAATCAAATTTTAAGAATTTTTTAAGCTACACCACTAGAAAGAAGAGGAAAAAATCTATCGATCCATGTGTTTGGATTATTTTTCTGACTCTTGGTAAACGGTTCCGAGCGAGCTAAACATACGACACTTTCGGCCAAAAATGCCGTAATCGCGCGGGTGGCCGACTTATGCTGGACGCGCTCATATATTAGGCTGATATATATAGACATACTAAAACAGCAGAGCACAGTTCCCGATGCATCTACCCTCTAGCGGATTTCTTGTAGGACACATTGCCTCATACTTGAGTGGCTAAAGTATCAGAAACGATACAATTTTGAATATCCCCATATATTAGCACGGTGGTATAATTTATCTGTGGTGGAAAGGGAGAACCGACCAACTCCATTTTTTTCGAAATCGAGTTTATGACGTTAAACACCTACATTTAGTGTCAACTTTGATGTGCAAGTGTCTGAATGACCGGAAATTGCGTCTATCGTTTGGTACAGCACAATGCCAAACCGACCAAATCCATCTCAGCGAAACCTTCAACGCAATATCGAATCAACTTCGGTTTAAAAATGATGGAATACAATATTGGAGCATTATACAGGGTGGGGAATAAATATGGAAAACCCTGGAAATTTCGCAGAATAAGTTAGGAAAAAAAATCAAAAACCTCATATCCGACGTATTTTTTCACGGGGAATCCAATGGTGACCTTGAATTTGACCTTGAACATGACCTTCAAGCTCCAGCGACCCAAAAATCGATTTTTCAAACGTAACCCCCATTTTTTATTGCAGATTTGAAAAGAGCACAAAATTTCACGTCAAAATGTATGTTTTGTTTTTTTTTTCAAGGTCATTTTAAGGGCGTTACAGAAGCGAATAAAACCCCAATTTAACCTAAAACTAAGTTCAAGTAAGGGCTTTTTTTCTCATTGTACCGACTCCTAAATGACCTTAAAAAAAAAAACTAAACGTACATTTTGACGTGAAATTTAGTGCTTTTTTCAAATCTGTTATAAAAAATGGGGGTCACCGTGCGAATAATCGATTTTTGGTTCACCGTAGAGTATAGGTTATGTTCAAGGTCAAATTGAAGGTCACCATTGAAAAGAGTGAAAAATTTTACGTGAAAATATTTATTTTAATTTTTTATTTAAGGTCATTTAGGAGTCGGTACAATGAGAAAAAAAGCCCTTACTTGAACTTAGTTTTAGGTTAAATTGGGGTTTTATTCGCTTCTGTAACGCCCTTAAAATGACCTTGAAAAAAAAAACAAAACATACATTTTGACGTGAAATTTTGTGCTCTTTTCAAATCTGCAATAAAAAATGGGGGTTACATTTGAAAAATCGATTTTTGGGTCGCTGGAGCTTGAAGGTCATGTTCAAGGTCAAATTCAAGGTCACCATTGGATTCCCCGTGAAAAAATACGTCGGATATGAGGTTTTTGATTTTTTTTCCCAACTTATTCTGCGAAATTTCCAGGGGTTTCCATATTTATTCCCCACCCTGTATATACAAGTTTCGCATCATTGGATACTGCCGGAGCACTGCGACCGTTAGAGCACTTGACGCAGCAGTAATGTGCGATGTTCGAAATATTGAATGTTTAGTGGAGATTTCCTTGGTGAAAATGGAAAATCTGATATTACCATCAGAAAGCTGAGAAAATTTCCTATCGAATCCACTAGTTAGTTTTTTTGGGTGGGTTTTGATGGTTATACAGCGACTTAGAAATTGAGCATGTGGACTTGGGCGCAAAACGTTTCCCGGTCAAACCGACCAAGTCCACTTTTTTCGTTTCACATCTACTTTATCAATTTGATGGTTACATGGGCCAAAAGATACATCATAGTAAGTTAAAATATCACGGGTACAGAGTCATAGTCGTCCGCATAGCTACGCACTCATACGCAACTTCAAACACGTTTTTCTCGAAAACACGAAAAATGGAGTTGGTTGGTTCTCCCTTTCCACCACAGATATAAATTTAAATAGTTTTAAAACCTAAAAATTCTAAACATATCGACAATGTAACTGCTGTTATTTTTCTATCCCATCTAAACTCATTAACTGTATTATAATAATAATCATATTTCAGGAAATACACCACTTATGTATGGTTGTGCTGGTGGTCACGTGAAAGTTGTTGAAGCTCTATTAAATGCAGGTGCAAACGTTGAAGATCACAACGAAAATGGTCATACGCCTCTAATGGAAGCTGCGAGTGCTGGTCACGTACCTGTTGCTGAAATTTTACTTAAATTTGGTGCTGGTATCAACACTCATTCAAATGAGTTCAAAGAATCTGCCCTAACCTTGGCCTGTTACAAAGGACATCTAAAAATGGTCAAATTTTTATTAGATGCTGGAGCCGATCAGGTAATATTCAGTGTTTACATTATTTTAAAATATTGATGTGTAATTGATTTGTGAAATCGTATGGCTTGTTGGGTAGGCTATAAAGAATCCGTGAAAAACGAGCGAGCTAGCGAGCTCGATAATCGTAGGTTTTTAGTCTCAGTAGCGCCTGTTTACTTCTCGCGCAGTGATTGCTCGTCGCTAGGTAGTGTCGAGCGACTATTTGCTCGCTTCTACTCCAACACGCACAGTATGGGTGAGTAGAACTCGACGCTCATGTCTATGAAACGTGCAATGTAGAGTCATGTATCTCGGCATCTCTGCCTCTCACTAGCGCGTTGCGTTTTTATGCGCGCTGATCGGTGAAATGATAATTCAAGTCTTTGTGTGGCTTCGTGCACATGTCTAAAATTGTAAATTATAAATCATATGGTACACCAATTTTTACCAATTTACGTAAATGTAACTAAAAATTTATGAATTTTTTACGAATAATTTTAGTAAATGAGTTTTTTATTTATCAAATTCGGGGCGGAAACATTTTTGATACTTTTTTAAACCATAGTACTTATGCTCAAAATGGGGTCTGGAGAATTTGCGAGTAAGCATATACTACGCAAAATTTAATAAACTTTCCGAATCCGGTGTCAGATTTTCGATATAACAAACAGGTAAAAAGTTATGGATGGTTTTATTAAAAAAAAACGTGAATTCGAAAAAAAAAATTTTTTTTTTTTTAAATTTTCACATGAAAATCTTTTAAATCCTAGCGTCTTTGGTACAGATAAAGCGTCCATGGGTCCTTCTCTTAAAGTTATGACGGTTCCAATTAGTAAAATATGATTTTAAGGAGGCTGTAGCGATGCAAGGAGGTTCTGTATTGGAACGCTATATGCGCAAGGCTATATGCGATACGCAGCGTACAGTGTTAGCATGGCAGAACATAGGAGAAATGTGTTGGACTCTCAATATCTTTTTTATTTGCCCGGAAACACCCATTTATAATTATATCATTCGAAAGTTAATGAAATTTCCTGTAACATATATTAATTTCATTATAACTTGTAAAGATATTTAAGCTCACTGTACACTAACAACTGCCACTTCCCATTTGATTCAATGTTAAATGGTCAAAACTTTGAATTTGATTATTTCCCAAATTTGCACGGAAACCCCCAATTTTTTTTTCACCAAAAATCTTGTAATTTCATGAACTATACGTGGATTAAATTTCACTCCGGTCTAAAGATTTTTTCAATTTCGCTACAGCCTCCTCAAGTACAAAAAATGGCGACTGGAAAACGAAAATATATTAGGAAATTTTTGGAATTTTTAACTCAAAAAAGATGAATTCTTATTATTTATCATTGAACTCAACCATCAGTAAAATTTTTTCCTCAAATCCATCGTTTTTGAGTTGAAAATTCCAAAACTTTCCTTATATATTTTCATTTTCCAGCAGCCATTTTTTGTACTTAAAATCATATTTTACTAATTGGAACCGTAATAACTTTGAAAGAAGGACCCATGGACGCTTTATTTGTACCAAAGATCTTCAGAGGATGAGCTAGAATCACTTGGGCACCCACTTAAACTCGCGTAGAAAAGACTTTAATTCCCAAGAACTATTTAGACTTTAAGTTGAAATAATAGCAATAGTGCTTCTAAATAAAACTTTAAACTGAACTTTGAACTGAACTCTATGTAAGGCTTTGAGATGTGGCACTTGCACTCAGACTGCAAGGATCAGTGATATCTGGATAACAAGCCACCAGCTTACCGTCTGCTCCGGCAGAGGTGCAGCTAAACTGCTGTTTCTTCTCTAAGAGTAGGCCTTTTTATAAGGGTCGATGGTTGGTCCCTTTCTCCCAGACTCAGACCTGAAAGTGACTTTAGAATCTTCTCGTTCATCTTCAAGTTCGTCGATGACCCATGTCTCCCATTAGATCATAAAACATGTGCTATGCATTCGTGTACTCTAATCATAAATTCATTAAGATAAATATAGTTTTATCATCCTGTTACTTCAGATATCTGATCTCAGGCCAGCTCTGTTTACTCAGCAGGCTGCATGGCATCTTCAATTGTGTTTTCGCACGTCATCAAGTCAAGCGTTGGTCAGATTTCTTTATAATACACTTTCTAATCTATATTTTCGTGCACATAGCTATACAGCTCTTATGCAGTATAATTGTACTGTACACTACAAGGCGATTAAATCTGCAACAACCTCTAAACGTAAACACAGCGAAGTCGGACTGTCTATGTGTATAACGTAGGCGTGAATAATATCAATAGTATACGGACTAGGATAGGCCGAGGTCCCAAATTCTCTATGTTTACGTTTGGAGGTTGTTGCAGATTCAATCGTCTTATAGTGTACGTGGTACATGACACCTCGAACGGAAAATCCGCTAAATAAATAAAAAGGTGTAAAAAATATACCGTATGGCAAAAATAACATTTGCCTCGAACTTAGCGTTAAACATAAACAAAGGTCAACTTTATTCCATTTCCATATTCGGGGTTCCATGTGTCGTTATTAGGAACGTTGTGTCCATAACACATCGTTCCAAGTTAGGCGCCCAATGTGGTGCGTTCATGTACCTCTGAAAGGTTAATAAAATGGCGAGCGATCGACAATCGGCTTTACTCCACAACGAAAAAAATATCGGAACTATGGCTTGCGCGTGTAAGGAACTCACGGCTACGATTATTTCTTGAATGTTCAGAAAATATAATGTCGGAGATTGAGATTATGAGAAGCATAACAAGAGGCTACTACGACTAGTCGTAGCATCAGATGTCGAACGTTGAACTGTGAGGTGACGCTCGGTGTAAACTCACGGCAATTCCAACTAGTCGGAACGTCTGATTCTGACTAGTGGAAAAAGTAGAGCCTGAGCATATTTCGCGTCAAGTTGCCAATGGCTCGCCCGTGCGGCATTGTTGGGCGAAATCGCACAATATCTAACTTGATATAAAAGTACCTAAATGCACCAAGAAAAAATAAGTGACATATGATTTCGATGGGAAATTGCCTCAGCTTTCCGACGGAAGGATCAAATTTTTGAAAATTTTACATTGTGTGTGTGTTCCATTCCATGTGACATGTCATTAAACCATCTGAACTGAAATTCCTCACCAAATTGTGCTAGCCCACCATTAGCTTAATAAAGTTCACGATGAAAAAGTTATACACTTCAAGGATAAATATCCAACTGCTAAAAAGTAGCTTAGTACAATCCTTGTATTCAAAGTAATGCAAATTAAAAAGGAAAGCCTTAAGTAGCAAGAATTACATATTACAGATATGAAACAAAATTACTTTTCAATGTTTACTTATTGTATAAAATTTAGTATTTGTAATTATACATTTACAATAACGTGGTACGTAATAAATATAGAAACCTCTGAAAATCTCCCCAAAAAATACAATGATGACATGGAATTTGAACTTTAATATAATCTTGAAGCTATAACAAACCAAAAATCGATTTCTCAAACAAAAACCCCTATTTTCATTTTATATTAAAAAAAATGAAAAATTTTACATTTATTTACGCTTTTAGTTTTTTTCAAGGTCATTTCAAACGTGTCCGTATTTATAAAACTCTATTTTTAAGCATTTTATTTTTAGTTATTTTTTTTCAAGTAAATTTCTAAAAAATTGTTAAAAAATTTGAGCTTCAATTAGCACCTCTAGAATGATCTTTAAAAGATATCAAGCAGCATATTCAAACGTGAAATTGCTTGCTCTTTTTGAATCTACAACTGAAAAAGGGTGTTTCTATTTAAAGAACCGTTTTTGTAAATTTTCTGATTTCTAATCGAACAATAATTTATTTTTGAGGGATTCTATTTTTACGCTTTTCTTTTACGCTTTTAGGGATTTTTTTTACGCTTACTTCGAGAGTTTTCACAGGGTTTTTATATATTTTATGGCACTGCGTGGCTAAAGGCACGCTTTGCCGTGAAACGTGAATTTAGGACAGTGCTATAAAAAAACGCAAGATACCTATGATTTAAGAAGCCCATTCTTACCACGGTACTAGCACCTTCGCTTCGCTTAAGTGCTAACCGTGCCATGCAATTATGGCCTGCTTAAGGTGATGCCGAAGCCCCGATTTTAACCGATCGAGCATTAAAAATGTAAATTTAAATAACTTTTTTACTAGACTGATTTTCGAAAAATGGCTCTCTGGAACCCTCCGTATTGATGCTGTAAATAACTGTACTAAATTTCATCCCATTTCATTTAACAGTTTTTCCGAAAAACGGGATCGAATGTTGAATGAAATGGGATGAAATTTGGTACAGTTGTTCACAGCATCAATAGGGCTCCACAGAGCTGTTTTTCGAAAATCGGTCTAGTAAAAAAGTTATTTAAATTTACATTTCTAATGCTCATTCGGTCAAAATCGGGGCTTCGGCATCACCTTAAGGAGGCTCTACACCAATCATAACAATAGTACAGCGAGGCATCTGTCTGTCTCTTTCTCACATTAGGCAGACAACCGCTCGCACTATTCGAAATCAATGATTTTGTTTAATTACTCATTAGTTAGTTCGTTAAGGGGTAATTTTTAACATACCAATCGAAAGCTTGAAACTTTCTCTTTTAGGAAATATATTTTTTATTAAGATGGTTGATCTTTTAAACTAGTTATAAACAATTAAAGACCACGTCTCATAAGAGCCCGTGTTAATTTCGCCATTTTTAAACATGTTTATCTCGAAAGTTTGATCGTCAACCACATATTTTTTTTTGGAATCTCATTGTGAAGATTTAAAAAATCGATTGATATAAGTTTTATCTTGTTGGATGATCTTTTGTATTATGTGTAGAGCCTCCTTAAGTCACACGTATCATAATATACTATTTCGCACTTTATACAAGGAGTGTTTGTAATTAAGGAGTCACATTATTACCAGAGTTTTTATAAACCATTGATTGATTAAAATTGTCCAATACAAATTTCTTTACAGGAACATAAAACTGATGAAATGCATACAGCTTTAATGGAAGCTTCTATGGATGGTCATGTGGAAGTAGCACGTTTACTGCTGGATTCTGGAGCGCAAGTAAACATGCCGACTGACAGTTTTGAATCTCCATTAACACTTGCTGCCTGTGGAGGACACGTGGATCTCGCATTATTATTAATAGAGCGAGGAGCTAATATAGAGGAAGTTAATGATGAAGGTTACACGCCCTTAATGGAAGCATCGAGAGAAGGACATGAAGAAATGGTTGCACTGCTATTAAGTCAAGGTATTAATGTCATTTTATCTCTATTAATTCTAAAGAAATAGTTTTTTTGTCAAGTGATTAAAAATGTAAAAGTCAAAAATTTTAATTTATTATTTCCATCAGTTCCATAACAAACTTTTGCTACTAATTGCCAAGATTAACAATAATTTTTACAATCAATTTTATTTGAACATCATACATCATCTTATTTGTGACTTATTTGGATTCTGTTACAAATTTTTTATAAACAAATGATTATGTGATAAAAATAAATTTTAATTTTTTGTCTTGGAAATTTTTTCTAACCCAGTTTTGGGTTATTTTTAACAAAAAAGTAGGGGAGAGCAGGGTGTGTTGGCATGTGAGGTAAATTGGCAAAATGGTATATTTCTCCTTATCAATGACTTGAACCGACATGGTGCCATTACATAAAAATAATACATATTATGGTGCTAGCACTACTGATAGTATTATCTCTATAAAAGTTAGTGATATGGTGAAATATGCATTTTTGCCAACTTACCTTACATGCCAACAAACCCCGCTCTCCCCTACTCGTCATTTTTTGTCAACACGACTGTTTACAAGATTCAAGAGATTAAAATGGTTAATTTTCGCAATTGTTTTAAAGTTGAATTGCTTTTATCTTGTAAATCGTCGTGTTAACTAAATAATAACAAGAGTACCTTTTTGTTTTAAATAACTCGTAAATAGTTAAAAAAATGTTTCCAAGGCAATAAATACAATTTTTATTTTATTGCATAATAATTTGTTTATAAAAGTTTTTGAGATGTAAGTTATAGGCAGTTTTAGCGAATCCACCCTAGAAATTCGATTTTTATTAGTAATTATTTTTATGGCACTCTAACCTAAAAATCGCAACTTTGCCGCTAGTTTTAGGCTTGTGTGCTATAAAATATTGTATGCAACTTGTGCGAATAAGCTTTTTCAGTAAAACTCGTTGTAACAATCACCTTCGGCTTGTGCTGCAACCTCTTGTTCTGCAGAAAAAGCATATCTACGGCCAGTGCATAAAGTTCTATATTAATTGAAAAAACTTGATGCTTATATATAAATTATTTTCTGTAAATAATCAATTCAACATTCATAGGTGCAAACATTAATGCTCAAACTGAGGAAACTCAAGAAACAGCTCTCACTTTGGCTTGCTGTGGTGGATTTTTAGAAGTAGTCGATTTTTTAGTTAAAGCAGGTGCTGATATTGAGTTAGGGGCATCAACACCTTTGATGGAAGCTTCGCAAGAAGGGCATTTAGATATTGTTCGATATCTCTTAGAATTGAACGCCAATGTACATGCTCAAACGCAAACAGGTGATACAGCCCTAACTTATGCCTGTGAAAATGGTCACACCGATGTTGCAGAGTTATTATTAGGATATGGAGCAGACTTGGTAAGTGATTTTTAACATTGATTAAATCTGCCGCAATAATTTACCACTTTTTAAAGACAAATTAGCTTATCATGAATAACTAAATGATTATCATGAAGACGTCTAAATAGCCATAAATAATAAAGCAGTTTTACATGAAAGTCTCGGCAGTTCCTGGCTGCTACACTTAAGGAACTAATACCGGTTGAATATGAATAAAAAAAGCTATTTTCATTATTTTTCTTGGAACACGCATAAAATCTTTGTAATAAGGGATTTTTCAATGGCGAACAATTAATCTCAGAATGTACTCAGCCGATCGTTACCAAATTTTACGCTCTTCTTCATAAATGTGTGATATAGGGCAATATACCAAAAAAAAATTAAAATTTTTTTTTTCCTTAATAACCCTTTTATAATTTCCTTATCATCTCGCACCTTTCGCGTAAAAAAAGTCTGACAAAAAGTTGTCATAAGAAGTCTGGCATATCATCTGACTCAAGTCCGACTTATACAACAAAGCCAGATTTCGTATGAAACCTTTTTGCTAGACATTTGCCAAACTTTTTTTTACGTGGGATATTACAATTTTTCGTTTTTCTGTAATTTTCTGGTGTAATGTCATGTATCACTTATTAATGAAGAAGTTTGTAAAATTTTATAAACTTTGGCTGAGTAGGTCCGGAGGTTAACTGTCCGCCATACAATAAAGCAGCATCTCGAGATAAGAGCATTCAAAGTTTTCAAATTCCATTGAATGCCGTGTATATGCTCATACTCAAGCCTAATTTTGACTGACTTTAAGTCTGAATTTCTGAACCAAATTTTAGAAGGATGATCTTCAAAATATGAACATTCCGAAAATGCAATAAAAAAAATATTTCCCAAAGTTCAACCGGAATAGTCCCTTAATACAAATGTAACTTTCGAGGCATTAATTATGAAGTAGTTTAGTACTACCGGCAAAATTTTTGAAAAATTTTTTATAAAAAACTAAACAATATATAATTCAAGCATGTCAAAATTGTAATAAAAGAGTAAACATTCAAAATCGAGTAAAGTTGAATGAAATTGCAGAAAAAAAATTAAACCAATTGATTGATATTGATTTTGGATTTTTTTTTTTTGTTAAATTTTAGACATGCTTGAACTTTAATTCTTTAAATATTTTAACGTTTTTTCAAGGCTTCCTTTTATTTTTCATAAATCGTACTTTTTCATAAATAAAATTCAAGACTTTCTTTTTTCTTATTTTGATGTTTAGAATTAATTAAATTTAAAGAAGTTTCAGTTTTGATGGTCGTTCATAGACACCTAATTTAATATTTTAGATTCATACTTTAAAATTTTGTAAATATAATTTCTTACTAAAGTTTAAAAAATAATTGATTTAATCTTTCATAAATATTTTTCTATCAGTCATAAGTTTGGTAGTAAGGGCCGAGTATTGAGTGCCGAAATCGGTAACACCGCTGGAAATTATATTTTTAAGGCGCTGGTATTCTTCTCAATTCAGAACGGAGATTTCAAAGAGAAAATTGAAAAAAATTTGAAAATGAAATTTCTCATTCTTATATTTAAAATTAAATAAAATTGGGGGTTGGCGCTCAAAACGTGTTGGGCGAAGGGGTTAATGGTGCGTTGTCAGAAGAGATAATTCGACGCTGTTAAGGAAGACTAGCACGTTTACATTTAAAAATGTATAGAAACGTGCTACTCTTCCTTAACAGCGTCGAATTAATAAAGGAATGCAAAGGGACAATCGAATGGAAAAAATTAATTAAGGATAATAAACAATAAAATTCTTATTTTTACTTTTAATTTTAATTATAATTGGGGTTATTACACCAAGCGTGCAGGGAAGCTGAGTCTCTTTATACATATGTTCCTCAAAATTATTTCGATATCTTAGATTAGAAAAACAGACTTTTTATTGATTTTTTTTATTCTTTAGGAACATGAATCTGAAGGTGGAAGAACGCCGTTAATGAAAGCATGTCGAGCAGGACATCTATGTACGGTACAATTTTTAGTAAATCAACATGCAAATGTGAATCGTCAAACTACCAGTAACGATCACACCTCCTTATCTCTTGCTTGCGCTGGAGGACATCTTTCTGTTGTGGAACTTCTACTTTCTGAAGCAGCTAATCCTTCACATCGACTCAAAGTAAGTTTCTAGAATATGCTAATTGCTGTTTGCACATAAAACTTTTATTTTTTTTTAGCAACAATTAATGTATCTCGACAAATTAAAATATAGTTCCTTTATTTATTATCAATCACACTCGTTATAAAAATATAACTCACTGTTTGTATATTATAGTTTAAAAAACGTATCAATTTAGCACTAAGAGTAACACAGTTTTTACACATGAACAAACGTTCGTTAACTATTGTCACTCGAAGTTTTGTACATCATAAAAGTCATTTAAAACACATTAGTAATTACAGCATTAGACCCAAACACGGTTCCAGATATAACCAATTGTGCAAACATTAAATTTTTCAGAAATCGATAAAAAATATTTATACAACTGATCCCTTCTTGAAATGGTAACTTATGGTTGAAGATATCGCATTCGACCTGCGCTTCATTACAATTTTTAGAAATGATTATTAATTTCGGATTGTTATTTTATGCGAAAAAATTATGTGTGTGATCCCTATTAGAAATACTTTTGAAACGATATGACACTACGTGCATAAAAAAAAATAGTTATTTCGAATTATACAAAATTATTCATACTTTCCATGCAATGACGCCCCCTAGTAGTATCTAATTGTTTTTTTTTCATTTAGCAATAATTCTTTATGCAAAACAATACAGCATTGTACTTTTTTAGTTTACTTGAAATTTTAAAATTATTTATTTTCTTATCTTCACTAGAAAATCCCTCTTATTTAATATGGGAACTCATACTTTAATATTAATATGTTATTTTTATAGGATAATTCTACAATGCTGATAGAAGCGGCGAAAGGAGGTCATACTAATGTTGTTAAGTTATTACTCGATTACCCTCACAGTATAATGATACCTTCAGAACAGAATGGTACGTCGACGAAAATTCAAAAGACACTCAATTCGCAAGAGTTTTATGACAATCCAGAGGATAAACAACCAAGTCCACCTTTGCAGTATCAATTATCTGAACCTATCTTTTTATCATCTTGCACAAATAGTGTTACTAATGAGAATCAAGATATTTATTTCATGGAGGAACAGTCCAACCATTCTTTTTTATGCAACGATCATTCTGCTAATACTATGGAAAGTAGTTTCGATGAAACTAAAACCCACGATGATAAATATTTGACAGAATTATTTGATGCCAATACTCGTATGATACACACTGTCAGAAAGAATATTACTGAACTAAAATTAAGTTCAAAACAAGAACAGGTACATAAAAATAAATTTTTAAACATTTTCTGTTTCAAAATAGACTTTTCACATTCTTGTTATTCCTTCTAAACATTTGACACATTATCGTTACTAGATCCGCGATTATCTTAGTTTCATTGTTTTACAATCCACACCAAAATCGCAAGAATTTACTTTATTTGCTGCTCAGAAATTTAGAAAAGTATTTCTAAGTAGATCTTCAACTGAAAAATGCTAACTGTTTCACAGTAACTCATGTCAGTAGTTCCTTCTATAATTAATCACTATCCAGAAAAATAACGCTGCTTATTTTAAATTATTTAGAATCCTTCTAGCCTACTACTTTTTTGGGTTTGCACCCAACGAAGCTTGTAATTCTTTGCTCTCTTCTTGATCTTCTGTTCCCTTTCATTGGAACGTTAGTTGACTGAGGGTATAAAAATGGAGCTATTGAGTTCTATCACGCTTGTGGCCATCAAACAGTCGACAGATTATGTTGGAAAATTCGTCAATAAGTCTCCGCATACAAGGTTGTTACCATAATACAAGAGTCTTAAGAGGTCTTAAAATAAAATGAAGAATTTTATTCGATATCTAAAAAATTAATTTTTTTACATTTGAATAGCATATTTTGAAATTTTTTCGTAAAACTTTTTATTTTGCGCTTTCTGACGGTTCATGTTTTTCAAAACTTGTATCTTTTTGAGCGAACCGCAATGTAAAAGCGGAACAGTTACTAATAAAACCCAAATTTTCTAAACTAGGATTTTCCATGTAAGATATTCAAAAAATGTGTCGTAAAAGTAAAATATAAGTTTATTCGAAACAATGGAAAAAATTTTTGATTTTTCTTAAAAAATTTTAAGGTGTAACAAAGCATTTGTTTTATTGAAAATGCCAAAATTCGGTAACTTTTTGCGGAGTTCTTGATAGATTATTTAATCTGGTACTTTGAGGGTTAGATGCTTTGTAGTACTCGAAAATCTTAATTTTTAAATGATTTTAACGGTATTGGTTTGCACTAAGGTTGTACGCAGAGTAAGGCCTCATAAAGTTACTCGAGCTGGTACAGACTTTGATTACTCGCCTTCAATTGAGATCTTCCGACTGCCACTAAACTCAACACTGAATTATGATTCTCACTACAATTCATAATCTAAGCCTACCGCTTGTATAAGCGCTGATCCAACCATACTCCGACTATGTGTCTCATATGTCTCACGGTTGAGCAGGAACTGAAGCTGCAGCTTTTACAAAATGCCTGGTTTTGCTTTTTTTTCGGGAACATCCCACAAAAAGCACATGGTACTTGGTTGGCTTTCTTTTAAGCTTAGACGTGTCCAACTAATCAGGCGAGCGTAAGGTTGCCGAAAAACATCAAGATGAAGAACATACTGACCACGGAGAGCTCAGTACCTTATATTTTAATGCTATGATGTTTAAAATGCCATTTTTGAACTTTCATAATGCAGCATTTCAGTTTGAGTCGACCCTTCGCTAAATCCGATAAAAATGTTTAAAAATTCATATCTCCGGTTATAACTAATTTTTTCTTATAAAATAACTGAAGATTACACGGTTGTAATTCCATCAGAAATTATCAACGACTCCTCAAGATGCAGCAAGCTATAGATGAAAAAATTAAAAAATTGATTTTTTCGCAATTTTTATGGAATTTCCGTTTTTCTCAGTGATGATGTTATTTCAGAAAAAAATAAATGTCATATTCGTATGCAGTGACCATAAATACATGAGGAATCATGTTGTCTATCAACTTAGCTCTCTTCGGTCAACCCTATTTTTTGGGCAGCCTCCTCCTCGCCTAAATGATGAGCAAGAACAATCGTTACATCGACACAATAATATAAAATTACATCTGTTAATGCACCGTATAATCGCATAAAGCTTTATTAAAGTTTGTCTTAACTATTCATATTAAAAAAATGTATTTTTCAGACATTTTCAGATTCAGAAGAAAAAGATATTTTAATGAATAATGGTTTGAAAAAAACTGCGGATGAAATTCCACGCAGAAAACCACTAAGCTTAGATAAAACGGAAATGATGCACTCTGTTTCAGAACATGATTACAATGCAGGTAAAATTTATCTTCTTATAACTTATTTTTCATAAAGCATGCTACATTCGTTCAAAGCCATATTGAAAACGAAAAGATTCTATTAAACGTAACTGATCCATCGTGGGAAACTCAAACCATTTAATTTACTGTCATTAAAAGTTATTAAGCTTTATTAAATTTTACTGAAAAAAATATGTTACTTCAATTTTTTGATTGTAAGTATAGCAAGTAAATTTCGTTGAAAAAAATTATAGAATGATTCGGATTCCCTTACAAGGAGACCACCCTACCTTTGGGTCATGGATTTGCTCCAAAACTTTTTTGGGGTCTCCTGGTACACAATACTGAAACTCCCTGTGCTTAGTTTGATATCATGGACCTTAGGGCTCATTTTTTAGAGGATTTTCCACTTTATACAAAAAATCTTCGTTATTTTCTATATCGATATAGAAATACTTGGACGAAAAAATGTGGAAAATCCTCTAAAAAATGGGCCCTAAGGCGAATGAGATCAAACTAAGCACAGGTAGCTTCAGTATTGAGTATCTGGAGACCCCAAAAAAAATTCGGAGCAAATCCATGACCCGGAGGTGGGGTGGTCTCCTTGTTACGATTTTGAAGGTGGTACGAGCACCTTTAAAAGCATGGATGTTTTAAGAAAATACATCTGTGTTAAGTCCTGTAAATTAAAAAACATGTTGATATTCGATTTTTCGTATTTGATGTAAAATTGTTTTTATGAGCATTTTTTCATAAAAAAATGATTCTCTAATTACCTTTAATTATTTAAATTAGTCCAGGTAAGTATCATCTTTAATGACTCATGATTTCGAATACGAATTTTAACTCATCTTGATCATTGAGGTCTTGAAATTTTTGGTAAATCTTTTGCTCGCCGATATAAAAAAAAAAGTTATTTTCATTGCTCATTGTTAGTTTTTTAGACTGATAGATTGAATAAATAAATTAATCAAAAATCAGCTCCACTTAAGAAAATTAAATAGCTATCACAAAGCTTTGGGATTCCAAGGGTCCAAATTAATCGAACATTTCATTCAAATTCATGTGGCACAAAACTTTAGGATCATTAGTCACTGTAGACGAATCTTGGACTAATTTATGTAATTAGAAGCACTAGAGATTTATTTTCTAATGTAAAGAGATTTGCATAAAACTATAGTTTTACAACGATAACAAAAAATTTCAATATTAACTCACCACTTATATTTGTATCTTTAGATAGATGGTTTCTCCATCTTGACATCTTTTCACAATATTCCTTATTGAATCTTCCTTCAATTGATACACTTTGATCTAAGAAAAAGTTAGGATTACTTTCTATAAAACATGCTGGAATTTTAAGGCGCTTTTCAGCCCATAAATTGAATTTGCTGGTATTACTAAGATCGAAATAAAAAAAAGCAGTCAAAATCGATAAAATCATATGTGTTACACGTTTCTTTAAGTCACTGGTAGTTTTGCCAGCTAGTTTAAAAAGTTATGAACAGTGCAAAATCCCACGCACTCACCGCCTAAATTATTTGGCTTAGTGATCGGTCATAAATAGATCAGATTCAGAATTTTTTAAATAAAGCAAGAAGAACACGAATATTGATAAATGCTCCCAGAGTACATTATCAAAATACCTAGTATCTTCTATATTTTTATATAGCAATGACTTACGTTTACACTATTGCTTTGAATGTTATGATTTAATGATATTTTTATTTTTTAGACTTGAAATATTCGGAAAATTATTCTTCGAATTCGCGAGATAGCGAAATTCAACGATCACCAATAGAGTATTATAATGAATATAAAGCAAAGGAGGCATATTTAAAAGGGCTTCAAGAGGGTTTAAGGGTTGGAAAACAACGTATTTTAAATGAAGCAAATCTACAAGAAGATATATCCCACTCAACGCAAACATCCTTGGTTGAAAACGTATTTCCTAGTAACCAATGTGTAAGTAATGTTTCAATTGACATTACGTACTTTTATTTCGTTATTATTTTAACATTTGACTAATGACAACTAATTGAAAAATTTGTAGCATGCAAGATTATGTTCGACTGATATTCCGGAAGAACACAGAATGAAAATTAAAACAAGAAATGATGTGAAATTAGCCCAAAAAAATGTTCATGAAATGGTCATTGATAAATTACAACAACAGCATCTGTCATTAATGTCAGGATTATCTTCGGATGACTTTCGAAAATTTCTTGAGAGAACTCAACCACATTGCGTTCAACAAGTTCACCAATTAAAAATTTTAAATCAACAATTACAAATTCAACTTGAACAAACTCAGGTAACACATCATTATTTTCATTATAAGTAAAATTTTTAAGTTTTAAAGATCTTGTTACGGTTATCATTAAATCATTATAAGTTTTGGCAGATAGTTCTATAATTCTGCGATAGGCAGAATAAAAGTTATCTGAACAATGCATTTTTAACGTATCTGCTAAATTGTTTAGCCCTACTATCTTGTTTTCATTGAAAAATAGACTTTTTCGATTTTTTCTCTCGTAGAAGTTACAAAATCGTCATTTTAATTTATGTAAAATAAACACCAAAATCTTAGTAAGAGTCGTAAAAAAGTATTCGTGTTTCTTACATAAAATCCATTGGTAACGCTGGTTATAATATTAAAACTATTTTAGATCATAAAAATGCAAATTTCTAATTTTTCGGACCAAATTTGTGTAAAATTCTCTAAAATCAGCTTCACATGAGAGAAAAGTAGTCTTAATTAATTTTTTAATTTATTTTCTGCATTATATTTTAAAGCGGGATTTCGTAAGAGCACCTTTTAAGTTCAAGACCTCTTATGGAATACAAACCAATTGATTTGGGCCTCATGAAGTATTGTAGATTTAATTTTTATGAAAAATCCGTCGAAAACTCTTAAGAGATCGCCAAAAATCGAGATTAAGAAATAACGAACTAACGGGTGTTACAAAACTATGTAAACCTGGAAAATCTCGTACAGTATGCGTTGTAATGGGTACCGTGACCGTTACAATAAATAATTGAATAATTAATTTATTGACTTAGGTTAGACGATGTCGCTGACTAGTTCAGTACTCGGTACGGCAATTCGCACCGACCGCGGCGGCGTCGTGGTCCAAAACCTAGGGGAAGAATAGCAGGGGAAAAACAAATAATCACTCATAAATTAAAAAAATAGTCAAAGAGATAAATTATTATTAACTTTCAAAGTTCTGGATCAACAATTACAGCGCACGCAGCAGCGCAATCGTGGACATTCATTCCTCACACATCGAAATCGCGATTGCACACGCTTAGAGAGGGCTTGGTACTCGAGTGGTACTTACAATCTAATGCGTACTTTGTCTTCGCCTTGATCAGTTCGGCCCTCTCGGTCTGTCCGTGCTGCTGCACTCACGCACGCGATACACAGAATCGGGCGGCATTCCGTTGCCGCGTACAGAATAAACACGTGGAGATCCGGCCCGCAACACCGCTCACGTGTCCCGACAATCAAGCCCGTCCGAAAGTGCACCCGCGAGTCCAAGTCGTAAATACCACACGCACCCGCGACATACGGCGCTACTCGTTCACGCGAGTCCGGGTTGTGCATATCAGGTACACGCACTTGCGACGTACCGCGTCACAAAATTACACCCGACGTGGCGTCTCCGATTTCGGGACCACTATCGATGTGGTCGCCGCGCTACTCGTATTCGCGTGACCAATTTGTCTCCCTGCTCCAAAAATCCTACGAAAAACATCAGCACAGCGGCGCGCTGGTCGCTCACACACACACACACACAGTCTCACACGCATGCATTGCTGCTACTGCTGCGTGAAGGAAAAATATTATAATTCGGCTTATTTTACATAACCACTGCTGAGGTCGAGAGAGACAGTATTATAAAAAAAACCTCGAAGTTCAACGAATTTTTTGACAATGAATCGAATGGTGACCTTAAATTTGAACACAACCACAAAGTCCCAGAGAACTATAAATCGATTTTTTAAATAGGGTCGCTCATCTTTTATTGAAGATCTGAAAAGAGTGGGAAAATTTTTCGAAAAAATTGGATAAAAATGAATGTTTAATTTGTATCTATAGCGGTCTTGAAATCACATGGAAAAGACACGAAAGCATATCCGAACGTAAAATTTTCATATAATTATTTTATTTTGCACATTACATTATGATTACATAGTATAATTTTCTGTTTCGGATTATAAATAAATTAAATCGGGGTTAGCGCACAAAGCATGCAGATAGGTTTATTTCCTTTAGTACTTTGATTTAAGTGGCGCAGCAAAAGTAAATCAGTTAGTGAAGCAGTTTAAAAAATTATATTTTTCAGATACCATTTAAATACTTTTTGGAGTTATAGGAAGTGATTGCACATTTTTTAATAAAACATTACCTCTAATTCCTATTAATAGTTCATATCTATAATTTATTTTTATTTCGTAATATTTTGTTAATAATATGTTTTCTTTTTCATTCAGAAAAATACACCAGATTCACATTCTAAGAATATTCAGTGCGAAGCTTCATGTTCATTTCTTCAAACAATGCACAATGATAACAAAGATATTCAAATTTCTTTAGAAAAAGCAATAAATATGTTCGAATCAATACATTTCGAAAAAGCTGATAGTGGTGAGTATTTTCTAAATTTTTTTCAACTGTATATTTCATTTTAAGATCTTGCATTTACAGTAGTCAGGTAACATTGAATGTTAGTTAAAGTCTTTATATATCAGCCAATGCGAGAAAGGACTTTGCAGTTTCTTAAACAAAGTTAATATTCAATTTATAACTGAATTAATGTGATATTGACGGTTTACCTCGATTACCTCCTTGAATTAGCACATCAATCATCATTACACCACAAGTTGACTGCACTTACTTCTTTTTGGTTATCGTTTGTTCTAAGATAATCATATATGGTAGTACCATTTAAAAAAATTCTACTTTAAAATAGGAGGAAAAAAATTTTCTGTTTGTGAAATGTGATCAAAATAAGTTGTATACGAAAATTTCTCTTAACATGTTAAGTTTGATGAATTTCCACTTCACATTTTTAAAAGCGCAACTTATTCAATCTCATATGATTGGTAGTATATTAATCTTTAAAACTCGAACTAGTTGAACTAGCGTGCACATGATGTTGATAAAATAAAACGGCAATAAATACGGTGCAAAAGTTCTGAAGTTCGTATATTTTACTGGCTGCTCGGTAAAAAATCATCTCTATCACTGAATAATAAGGTGCTTATACTTAAGACTATTTTAGAGCCCGTTCAGTTGTACGGTTACAGATATGGACAAGTCAAATCTTACATACTACACAGTAAAGTTGAAAAAAATGATTGGATCCCTCAAATTTCTAATTTCGATTCGTAAGAAAGTACTATAATAGTTTATGGGTATAGTATTATAATAGCACTCTAACAGTACTATAATATATAGTTAAGTACTACTATTGTGCTATATTAGTTCTATTATAGTACTTAAAATGTTTTTTTATTAGGGTAAAATAGTCACTTAATAGGCATCTAAAAACAACAAAAGTCTCACTTTTTTCGCACATAGAATTTGTGCATAACGTCAAAAATCATTTAAAAGTACCTTCTGAAAGCAAAATAAGTAACCTTTTTAATAAATACTTACACTTGATAAGAAACTAATGTATTTCAAGAAGTGATCAAAGCAAAAAAGTGCGAATTAACTAGCCTGATTCCTCAATAACTTCGATCTAAGCACTAGGTTAAATTTGTATTTTCTAGCACTGATGAATAAAAAATGAACTTGAGTGTTTTGAAATGTATGAGAAACTTCCTATCATTCTTAAATATTAATCGAGCCGTTTGAATAATAGTATATTTCTCAACGGGTGCACACAACACAAAACGAGGTATTATAGCACGAGCCGAAGGCGAGTTTTAATGAGTTTTGTTATAAAACCATATCTGCGCCAGTTGATGATACAATTTTTTCCTACGAGAGCCTAAAATTAGCGGCAAAGTTGCGTATTTTAGGTTAGAAAAGGAAAAAATATTATTATTAAAGATTACACAGCCACACAAAAAAAAATTTCGAGTCCATCAACCGGACCTAGTTGACTTTATGTTATTGGGGTTGCTGAATCCGAATCTGGCGTCGGTTTTTCAAGGCTGGCTCATTTTAGAGGTCATTTGTAGGTCAAAAGAAGGAAAGTAGTAAAAAATCTGAAAAAATTCATACATGGGTTTTTGAGGATGCCGAATCCAAATCCGAGGTCGAGTGACCTTAAAGAGGTCAGATTCAAGGTTATTTGAAGATCAAACTAAGAGAATCCTTCCTAAAAAAAATGATGTGAAGTCGTTTTATTCGTCACCTCATTGGTCGAGGAGTAACTGCGCCTCGCTTCATGATTGGTCGTAATCTCGCGCCGGTCGTTCATATAATTATTATAGTGGGAAAACTTAAAATTGGCGTTTGCTTAAATATTTATATTTGTAAGTCATTGGTAATTTTAATTTCAACTTGATTAGTTGGCGCGCGCGAGCGCGCTTCATATCACTAGTTCAATATAAATATCCGAAAAAATCACACTTATGTTTCGAGGGCCTCTGAATATGAATCAGAAGGTCATTTTGACCATATCCGGCCATATAAAGGTCATTTGAAGGTAATTTTGAAGTTAGATCATGAAAAAAGGTTAAAAAATCGGAAAATACTCATACGTAGCTTTTGAGGATGCTGAATTCAAATCTGAAGTCAGACACCGACTTCTATGAAGTCACCTTCAAAGTCATTTTAAGGTTAAATTAATACAAGAAAGTAAAAAATTCAGAAAATATTTTTAATTTTGCATGCGTTTTTACTTTTTTTTTCGTAACGCATCTTTTTTTCTTCGAACGATCGGCGTAATAGTTGCCGTTCGCATTTTTGGCCTCTCTTATTTTGACACTCTCTCTTTAACATCCAGCAGTAATCGGTCATCATAGAAACATCTCATCTACCTTGATACCGTTGAATCATTCAAATTATTTCTTGATGGAATAGTTCTTTATGCTCGTCACTAAAATCACCACAGTTATCTGGAAACTCATCTTAATAGTTATGTAAGAAATGCAGTTCATGAGACATATTACATTTCATTTCACCGAACTTTTTTATCATCGTTGATATTAAAATTTTGTAATTATCGCTTCTGTGATTACCTAGAAAATTTTCTACAACATTTTTTAAGCTAACCCATACAGCTTCTCTGAATCATAGTCATCTAAGTTGGAAAATTGTCATCTTTCAGCATTTTTCTTATTGCTGGTCCATCGAATATTCCTTCTTTCAACTTTGCATCAGATTTATAAAAAAAACTTAGATTCTAAATTTTTCTAGCATTCATCACTTTCATTTAGAGCTTTTAAAAATTGTTTCATGATTCCTTATTTAATATGCAAAGGAGGTAGTAAAACTTTTCTCAGATCGACTAACGGACTGTTTACATTATGATCTCCAACTTCTAGAGAATTTCTCTCAGGCCACTTATGGTTAGTGTGATGTTTTTTACGATCTCGGCTGTCCCATAAGCACTTGAAACATGGGTACTTCGTAAATCCAGATTGCTGTCCTATTAACATACCCAATACTTTCAAATCCCCGCATATCATCCATTTATAATCATCGTATTTGATGCTATCTAATAGTATATTCATACTTTCTTATGTTTTGTGCATAGTTGTACTGTGAGCAATAGGAAGAATTAATAAATAGTCACGATTCATTGGTTTTATAGATAGTAGTTTTAATTTCTCTCATCAGTCCTTCAACATTATTTTAAAAAACCAATTTCTCATCGTCACACTTTTTTTCTTCGAAAAATTGTTTAAAACTATCATTTCTTTTTCGATAATGAGATACATTTGTACCTTTTTCCAACATATTTCTGCTTTTCGAACTGGAAGCTAAATACTCTGTTCCATCTTTAGCTAACCCTAACTCCCTTACCAAATCATTCAATTCAGCTAGCATGAATTTTCTTACTATTGAAGATTTTTCTGTTCCTGGTAAAAACTCATTGCTTAAATCCTATACTTCCTCTTCTGATTCATGAAAGTCATCATTACTGTCGTATTCCTCATTATAGTTATCGTCTTTTTTAGTGAAGGTATATGATTGTACCTTTTTTTACAGTATTATACCCTCAAACATCAGTCTTACAAAAATAGAAGTCATTTTCGTTTGAAGGTTGATTCCATTCAGTTGGTTGACTGTATTTCAGTTGATCATCTTCTTTTGTACGTTCCCACTGACTGAGCATTCTGCGACATTTTGGACAATCAAAACGTCACTGTTAGCACATGTCCTAATCACTATTAATAATTTATTTTTGTTTAATTACTTCAGCATCTAATTTGAAACAAATTTTATAAATGCTACCTAGTCTTTTATTGAAAGTTCACCGATGTTCTTTTTTAGGATCAAATTCCATACAGACATAGCAAAATGCATTCACATTTTTGGTAAAAATGTGTTGAGAGGAAGATGAAGATTTTAATTAAATGTGTTCCATAATAATATATTAAACCCGCACGATGGGGAGCCTGGTCCGATTGCAGGTGAGTCCACCGTACTGGAGGTGATAACCCCCTTATACCTCTCATGGCCTGTATGGGCTTTCTTTGACAAGGACAATGTCAACTCGTCGTCGTCTACGGCTTCATCCTCGTACCCTATCGCCCTCCTGCAAGGCAGTGCACTTTCACTGGCATCGTTACCTCGGAGAGCTGATTAGCTGATCATTCTGTACATCCCATTTCGGGTCATTGACATCAATCTTATCTTATTAACCGGATTCAGATTTAGCGACTTCAAAAACATAAAGTACACTAGGTCCGGTCGGTGGACTCCACAATTTTTTTTTTGTATGGCTGTGTTATTACAGGTGGTTCATATCTGAATGGACAATTTTACCGAATGGCCCAGTCATGGACTAGAGTAGAGTTATAAATCGTATTAAAAAACAGATTTAACAATTTAGTAAGTAGAGATTTACATTTTTTTCTTTTGAGAGAATTATATAAATATAAATGGAAAAAAATATTGCGCAAATTTTTGTTTTTATTTATTTAAATAACAACTCAAGGTGGCACATATCTGGCCTTTCTATCTTATAATAAACTTTATTATAATAAGACTCTACTTACTTTGTACATCGAATGAAGTCAGATTTTTATGGCCCAAGCTCCGAGAATCGAGTGCCAGACATCTGACAGAGCCCCATCGTTTATACACCGACTCAGCTGTGCATACGAGCACTTCCCAGTCCCTATATTGCTGGTACAGAGTTTTTGTAACGTATTTTGTTGTTTTATAAGAATGTATTGTTATAATAACGATTCCGCAATGGTATCGCGTGCAGCAATACGTCATAGGTTGTAACAAAAGCAAGTTATTAATTAATTATTAGGCTCTTTTAAGTTTTCGAGATTAATCTCTCAAACCAATAGCCTCTGCCTTTTCAATAAAACTTACTTATTCTATTATGGAAGCGACGATTCTAAGTATTCGCCATCTTACTAACGTTATAAAATACTTATTTTATTCTCATGATTATTTTAGCGACTTTTTCCGACTTGGCAGAAGCTGTGTATTCAATTTTTAGTAGGTTATTACTGATACATCTTAAACCTTTACTGAACATTAAAATATATAATAAGTATGAAACTTCTTACGATTTTTACTGATTCGAAAATTTTACTTTACAGGTATTTTATCTACAGCAGAAAGGATTGTAGACAATAAATTCTACGAAAATGAAACTTTACCAGTTCCATCATGTACTAAATATGATCAAATAATTGATTTAGACGATAAAATTATTTCAAATTATTCTATGTCAGAGCAACCAAGTGTTTCTACAAATTGTAATCTATCTTTTGAATCATGCTATAAAACTCCACACACGCAAAAAGATAGTGAGCTCACAACTGACAACTACGTAAATGAAGCAACCCCGGACGAGAAAATAGTACAGTATCATGCTACAAAAGATCAAATAGGTACGGTAAATTAATTAAATACTTTTCTGAATAAACTTGTAACACCAATTGAGCTACTTAGTAACATCATGAGATTTACTTTCGACCGTTATTATTGATTTTTTTTTATTTTTTGAAAAATATATTTATTTAAAAAAAACTGTATATTATTACAACTTAATTGATAGAGAGATTGATAGAAAGAATATCCAAAAACCTCTTAAAGCTTTTTGAGTCTTTGACTCTGACTAATCTCTCGTCCTCTTGCGAGACTCACAGAATCGATAGGAAAAATCTTTTTTTTATTTGAGTGCAAAATCCCAAGTTAGTGCAAATAAACTGTCATTATTAGGGGCTAAAATCAGTTGAAAAAAAATTAAAATAAGCTATTTCCATCATTTATTTTTTTAGCTCGTTTATTATATAACTACATGTCATTTATTGCTCGATGTTAAGTGTAAGAAAAGTTTTCAAAAACCTTTTTTTAGTTTTTTTTCTTTGTTGTAACACGTATCATCTTCGTAAAAAGTGATTTTTCAATGGCGGGCAGTTAATCTAAGAATCTACTCAGCCGATCTTTGCCAAATTTTATACACTTCTCTATGAATGTGTGATATACCATAATATACCAGAAAAAATAAACATTTGATTAATAAAACAAAATTGTGGAAGTTTGACATTTTTTTTCTATAATAACTCTTAATGTCTAATTTTCTCATCATCTCATACTTATTACAATTTTTCTTTTTTCTGTAATTTTCTGGTATATTGTCATGTGTCACACATTTATGAAGTGTATAAAATTGTATAAGCATCGACCGAATAGATCCGGAGATTAATCGTCTGCCATGCAATAAAACACCATCTTGAGATATATGCGATCAAAGATTTTAAATACCATTGAATTTCTGTACCAAATTTCAGGAGGTGGTTATCCGAAATATGAATAGTCCGAAAATGCAATAGTAAAAAAAATATTTAAAAAATTTAAGAAAAAATTCACAGGCGTTCCTAGATCAATTCTAAGACTTTCGTCCTACAAATTTTTTCATAAACTCAATAGCTTAGGTTCGTCAACGCCCATGTTGCTGGGTCGTTAATTGTGCCGAAAATTGTAAAATTTTAAGTATTGAGATTATTGCCACGAACGCGCGCAGTATTCAAATCCAAAAACTCTTGAGATTTTTTTTTGAATAATTTTTCATACAAATTTGCGTCTTTTTTTGATGACGCTGTCAGTTTAGAAAATCACTAATTTCATATTCGGATTCAGCAACCTAAATAACAGAAGAAATCATTTAATTTAGCCACTTAGTTCTCCGGGGCCAGTATGTCTCTAAATTTAGCGACTTTTCGGTAACCGCTCGCTCTCTTATATACTATACGGCGCTTTTGCTGTTTTCCGATACCAGATTACGTGACCGTCTTCGCCTGGAGCCAATTAGGTTGATTAAAAACGAATCGTGATTGGTTGGTTTCGATAGGAGTCTACTTGAAAGGTCAGCTCTTTGCAATCATAAAAAAATCACACTAAAATTGTCCCCGCACTTAATCATTTAACTTAACAGATTATGTAGTTGAGAGGGTCAGAATTACTTTCTGATTTTTAATTCGTGTAAGATCCCGCCATTTTATTCAATTTCTCTGAGTACTCGAACACTTTCAACATTTTTGCATATCCCACTAAAAAATGGTCACGATCTCTGCTGATTCTTTTAGTGCAAAATCTGAGAATAATATGCTGCGCTGTGCGTTTCTATTCACCCAATTATTCGCTCTTAGGGGAATAGCATGCGAAGGGCAGCGTTGACTATGTAAATTGTAGTATTAAGTTTCCCAAGAAAGTGTGGAACAAACTATCCGTACTCATTAGATTAAGCTGTCTTCTCGACTAGTGTCGCAGTAAATTTATGTCCTAATAAAATGCATCAATTGTGGGTACATGCATCAAATAAATATTGTTTTAAAAAAGCGTATGCCATTTTTTATGATCTGTACAATATCGTATTCAAGTAAAAATGATTATTTATTACTAAAAACTGAAAATTGTAACTCATTTTTTGAATATTATGCAGACTAAATTGAAATTTTTTTATGCAGCATGTGAAAACCAGACTATAGCCCCAATTCAAACAATGCCATTAAATAGTATAGAAGTTGATTCAGAAACGGATAGTAATCACGACACAGCTTTAACTTTGGCATGTGCTGGAGGTCATGAAGAATTAGTCGGTTTATTGTTGAACAGAGGGGCTGAAATAGGTAAGTTTAAATAAATGAATGATTTGATTCACAGTTATTATACCGTTTTAAAAATTTTAGAACATAGAGACAAAAAAGGATTTACTCCACTCATATTAGCTGCCACCGCTGGACACCAAAAAGTAGTCGAAATTTTGCTCAACCATGGTGCTGATTTAGAGGCGCAGTCAGAACGAACTAAAGATACTTCACTTTCCTTAGCTTGTAGTGGAGGCAGATATGAAGTTGTAGATATTTTACTAAATAAAGGAGCCAATAAAGAACATCGAAATGTGTCAGATTATACTCCTTTAAGTTTAGCTGCCAGTGGAGGCTACGTTAATATTATTAAACTATTATTGAGCCATGGAGCTGAAATAAATTCTCGAACTGGTTCTAAATTGGGAATCTCACCTCTCATGTTGGCTGCCATGAATGGTCATACAAGTAAGAAAATTTAATTTAATAAAATGAACTATCGCAGATATTAAAATTGCTTAAAAAATATTAAATTATATAAAACTGTTACTTTGCATCGAATTGGAAATTAACTAACTTCAAACAAGTTTACAATGACGTCTTTTATTTCATTAGTACATGCACATTTAATTACACGTTCACATGTGCGAGAGGAGGGAGATGGAGATGGGTCGGCTATTGCTCCTGCTCATTTCGATGAGATATTTCATTGGGTCAAGCTCGAGCACTTACCATACCGTCTTACCTCATAAAAGGGGGTCTGGACTGTTGTCAATTGAGTCGTGAACGTCTATTCGCGTTACTAAATTATTTTCGAGTTTCACTGGCTAAAAAAATTCGGGTATTGAGTTGGAATTCCATATCCAAGATCCAAAATAATTCAAGATAATAATTTCAATTTTTTAAATCAAAGGTACTCAGTTATCGAACACACACCTATTAATTTTCTGAGCTTACTATGGTTATTATTTCACGCCAGCGGCTCTCAACATAACCTCTACACGTCGTCATAACTTCAATTCATAACTTCTTTAGTTTTTGGTTTTAAGAAACAAATTTCCACGTATACATTAATTGTTATATATGGGTCAGATTCAGAATTTTTAAAATAAACCTGTAGACGAAGTCCACAGATTTTTCAGAAATTTCGTTATGTTATAGTACATTAAAAAGGGTCTCAAAACCAAAATTTAAGACCCCCTCCCACCTTCTATCCCCCCTCCCCACCGCTATAAATGTTTATTTTCTATGTATAGATATTCTGAAGCCCTGAAATAATTAAAAACTCTGAAAAAATGTATGAAGGTACTTTTCAATAATTCAAACAACCTTGAATTTTTTCAAGGTTTCAAGGCTTCAGAATAAATATACATAGAAAATAGACGTTTATAGCGGGGCCGGGGGTAGCTGGGAGGAGGGGGTCTAAAATTTTGGTTTTGGGACCCATTTCAATGTATTATAACATACCAAAATTTCAGGAAAATTCGCAGACCTCGTCCGCGGGTTTATTTACAAAATTCGGAATCTGACCAATATACAATGTTCATTTTTCAAAACGTATATTTCAGTTTTTCGATCTGACATGAAAAAGTATCAAAAAATCTATGAAAACATCGCATCGTGCATGCATGTATTCGGGCTCCGTCAGCTCGAAGTACAATTAAATGGACAAATTTAAATCAACTTTTTTTGAAAACTGTACCGTAAGGTGTCTCAAATGTTCGAGATAGGTTCCAGTACATACTGAACAATCATTTCCTAATTTTAAAACAGATTTTATCGATGCGTGTTTCATGATTACGCAAAATAGCGTCTTTTTGACATGCTAGCATATGGATCCTACGTTAAAGTACCGAACTTTGATTGATTGTATCTCGAAAACTGTACCACTGTCGATACTGGGATTTCTCCCACATATCAACATTTCAGTCCCCTTCCCAGATCTTGAATAGTATGTGGTTACAATTTTGAGAGATTCTATCCAGAGCAATTTTTGAGTGAACTTTCTTAACGATGTGAACCTCTGAACAGTAAATAATTGTCACAAAAAAAGATATACATGCATAACATGTAAGTCAAAGATTTCAAAAAAATTAATGATTTGGACATCTAAACCAATAAAAAATACTATAAATCGCATTTTTGTATGAAAATTCACGTTCTTACATAATTTTCAATTTTTATATCGTAAAGAGTTGTAATTTCGAAAATGGATCGATCGGAAATTTACTTTGGAGGAATTTTCTATATATTTATCATAATTTATATTATGTTTGCATTGTTATAATATTATTTTAACTTTTAACATAGGCGCAGTTAAACTTCTCCTTGATATGGGAAGTGATATAAATGCACAAATTGAAACAAATCGAAATACGGCACTAACTTTGGCATGTTTTCAAGGACGTCATGAGGTCGTCAGTTTGCTATTAGATCGCAAAGCCAACATCGAACACAGAGCAAAGGTAATTATTTATATTTACTATTTTTTATTTTTTTATTATTATACATAAAATATTTCCTCAAAACACACGCTATAGCGTGTGTAGTCATTTTTTCAAATTATTTTTGTGGTCTTAATCATGAAACTACTTATGAAGATGTATTTTCTACTGCTTTTATTTGAAGGCTAATAAGGAGCTTCAATATTTGTACATGTACACTACCCGTTAATCGCTTTTTCCATACCTGAACAAAAAATTATCAATTTTACAAGTTACGTAGTTCAGTCAAAAATAAACGAATTGAGTTTTTAAAATGACTGTTTGAAAGGTTTTTGCGAGAACTTATGAAATTTCTTGTTATTAAAATGTTAAAAAGCTATTATTAAATAAATTTTTCTTAGGTTTATGTATAAACTTATTGATTATTATTAAAAATTAACGAATTGAAAATATTGGATTCTCTTATCTTGACTATTTCTCTTGCAATTTTAATTAGAGAAGTCGTAAAAACATTCTGAGCCTACAGATATGTAGGTTTTTACCAAACCTTGAAATTGTTTTTTTTTCAATGTACTCTAATAAAAATAAACAGACAGAAAAACAATAACTCACTTGAATATAATTTTAGTTTGGATAGAAGTTTTACATGAGTCTGTAATGCCCTAAAAATTAACTTAAAATAACAATGAAACATATTCGAACGTAACATTTTTTGCTCCTTTCGAATCTGGCATAAATAATAAGAGTACCGATTGAAAAATCGAGTTTGGTTCGCTGTAGCTTTGAGGTTATGACCAAAGTCAAATTCAAGGTCTCATAGGATTTCTGATTCTTTTAAGGGGGGAAAGGTACCTTAAACCTACATTTATAAAAAATTTATTAAAAATGATGAAAAAATTTTTTTTTGGAATATACAGAGAAAACTCTGTTTTCTTCACTCTTTTTTCAATGTTTTTCACTCTGGAATATAAAAATTGAGGTCCCAGTCACCATAGAACCCTCCTCGATGAAGCAAGCCCACAGTCCTGACAGGTACCCCTGTGCCGTAGGATCCAGCTAGAACCGATGGTTCAATCATGGTCCTTGGGGTCTCATTTTGATCATTAGATGTGTGGTTACAAACGCAAGCACTTTCAGATTTTTTAATTAGTTATACACAATTTGCCAGCCACATATATACATTTATTCATTAATATATATGATAAAATGACAGATTGTGCTACATCATAGCCTGAAAAAAGTGCTCATTTGTCCCAATACCTTTGAAAGTGCTTGCGTTTGTAGCCATTCTCATGTAGAACAATCCCTGAAAATTTCAGCTCATTTGCTCAAACGGTTTACATGGAAAGTTACGGCAACAAAGCAATTTTGAGATAAAACGTTCCTGCCCAAGAGTTGAATAAAACCAAAATACATCAATATATGTCATAATGATACTCTCATGTCACTGAGGCTGCTTTAAACTTTTTGGACAATAAAAAACAGTAATTCAACTTGAAATTTCAACATATTAGACCCACAAGGACAATGTTCAATAATCCCAGACAGACACACAAAGCCAAATTATAAGTTTTACTAAAATGTTAGCATACGCTAATATGGGTTTTATGTGGAAACTGGTAACTAAGTTGATTATGTCCAAATCAACTTTTCACACTAATATACACAATCTCACATTAGAACTTGAACTCAGCCCTCTACCTATATTCACTCACATTCATAAAACAACAATCATTGGATCTATAGTTGGAAATAAAATCACTCAAAATTGATCAATTATCACTAATCTTGGTTATCACATGCAACATACAATAATATACATGATACAGTTATATACACATACATAAAGTACAGTGACATACATGTACACTGATGTATATATGTCAATTTACATATGTACTGCTGTATTTCTTGAATTTGAACTGCTAAAAATGTAACATTTTTATAACAAGCTATTGAAGCATCTTCATAGCTTTATTATAAATCACTATGTCAAGTTGCAAAGATATAACTTCACTGTACATGTACTTTTTTCACTTTCAAAAAAATGTAATTTTTAGCCATTGGAAAATCAAGATGCAGTCAGCAGACTGTTATTGACATTTAAGGAGGTTCGGGAGTCTCAGCGAAATGCAGCCAAATTTTTAAAACACATTTAATTGCTTTGAAACTTTATAATATGAATGTTAATATCAAAATACAACTTTTCACCGCAAAATTTTGTTAAAATGATGAAAAAATTTTTTGACCATTTAACATGGTTTCTTACGAGAAATCATGAATTTTCGCTTTCAATGAGCATAAACATAATGTAAAAAAACAAAAACTAAATAGAAAAAAATACGTACATGTAGGAAATTTAATAAGGAATAATTTGACTGCAAAAAGAAGTTCATCGACCGTTTAGTTATCGAGAAATAAATTGTTATGTGTAAAAATTCGTGGGTCATTTGCGCGTACCCTAACCAACAAATGAGCTAGAACAACAAAAATATGTGCTCATTCGACTCTAATGACAAATAGAGTATTGTTTTAAGCCTAAAACATCGAAAAAAACTCATCAAAATGATTGAATTATTAATAATAGCTATAATTGTGTGCCAGCTCATTGAAAAAACCTACAATTTCGTGTTATTTCGAAGTTGGCAGCGCTGAAAATTTAACATTGGAAGTATAGGAGCCCCTCGCGTCCCGCTTCGTCCCCCTCTGAGACTCCCGAACCTCCTTAATCAGGGCTCGCGCACGAAACAGAGAGAGACAGAAGATATGCCGAAACCCACGTGCTGCGAGTGGTGGCGTGACTGTACACCTATAGCCATGTAAACAAACAAATTTCTGCTAGATGTACTCTAACCAAAGAATAAAATGAGTATCAATAGACGGCGCTACCGACTCATGAAAGTCTCGAGATTCATGAGAGAATGGCAACGATATATTTTTAAATAATCGTAAAAGTATCGGTACTGAATAGGCTGTACATCACGGTACAGTTAAAATTTTTAAATTCCGATCACGGCACTGGAAAGCTGAGGAAAAATCCTATGAAAAAAGTCAATAAAACAAAATTTTTTTTTGTTGAGATTTTAGGTATCTTTCCCCCCTTAACGCTTACTTCATGATAATTCCAGGGGTGTCTATTAGACTGGAAGCGAAAAATAGTATATTTTGCACTTACGGAGTGAACAACTGGAAAGTCTCAGAGCACGTGTAATTTATCATCCGAGGCGAAGTAGTGGCTGATAATCACGTGCTCTGAGACTTTCTTTTTTCACTACATAGGTGCAAATACAATTTTTTGTGAACCCCCCAGCCTAAAGTAACATTTTCATTTCGCTCAGCGGGAGTAAAATGTTACTTTAGGTTGGGGTGGCACAAAATAATTTTTTTTATTTTGTCCGGACCAAACGGAAAAGCGATCTATGTACCAAAAAAATAGTCTATGCAAAATTTCAGCTAATGAAAATGGAGATAACCCGTTCCGCCAATCGCTTGAAAGTTTTTAATTTAATTTAAATTAATTTTTACCGCTTCTTTACAGCAATATTCAAATGGCTCTATAGCCGTCAATTTTCAAGCGAATAAAAATTCAAACCAGTCAAATTAAAGGTATTTTTAATACCTTAAATTTGCCTATTTCAAAGTTTAAATTGCTTCAAAATTGACAGCTGTAAAGCTGTTTGAATATTTCGAAAAATCGCAATTTTTCTAGTTTTGTAATAGCTGAGGTACACTCGGAAAAACACCAATTTTTTCTTGACTTCGGGGTATTTTTCGTGTGTTATAAGCTCAAAAATGGCGAAGGTTTTGACCGGAATATTGCATCCTAGCCCTATATAGCGGCATTTAAAATATTCAATTTTTTCGCATTTTCTTTGCTTTCCTTAAAGTGTCCTTTATTTCCAACAAATCCCAACAAAATTTGAAAACATCATGTTTAATGTGTTTTTCGACGAAAAAACCAATGATGACCTTAGATTTGACCTTCAACATAACCTGTAAGCTACAGCGAATCAAAATTGATTTTTTGTACGGTGACAACTTTTTATTGCAGATTTGAAATGAGCGAAAAATTTTACGTTCGAATACACCATTATTTTTTTTTAAGAGTATTTTATTCTATTCCTTAAATGAGATTATTCTAGGATAACTAAAGGTCTTTTTGCGTATGACATCGCCCTTTAATGGCCATGAACATAACTTTTAAAAAAACTTGAATGTGTATACAAACGTGAAATTTTCTGCTCATTTCAAATCCGCAATAAAAAATAGGGGTCACCGTACAAAAAAATCAATTTTGGTTCGCTGTAGCTTAGAGGTTATTTTGAAGGTCAAATCTAAGGTCATCATTGGTTTTTCGTCAAAAAATACATTGAACATAATGGCTTAAATTTTTTTTGGGATTTGTGGGAAATAAAGGACACTTTAGTATAACTAACCTCGAAATCGCTATTCTAGTTTTCCACTTCATTAATGATTATATTTTTAATTTGGCTGCAGATTTGGCTCTGAGACACCTATAAGCGCATTACGGTGCTTTAAAAAATAGGTCTTGAGATGCTTTTGATCATCAGTAGTATTTGGAAAAATTTTCAGTATTTTGTGAATGTCCTCACAATAAAAAGCATGTGAGCATTAGACGAATGAAATCTCCCTGGATCACCTCATTTGGTACATACCACGGTGTGTCCATCAAACAGCGAAGCACTTTGTTTTTGCCGAAGTAAAGGCTAAAATATGTGGTTTTAGGGGTCTTATTTCGGGGCGATAGCGCTTCAAATCAAGATCCTTCATAAAATACACTTATTATACATACAATAAACTACTCTCACATGAAATTTGGTAAAGATTCATGCCAACAAACTAGATTTACAGCCTATCCAAATCTTGCAAAAGAGGTACTTTTTGTAATTGAGATATCTGTACATGGCTGTATCTCCGTTTTATGTGGCCTCATCTTGTTTCATGTACCTGGCAGATTATTGACTTGTACTTGATGATTTTATTGTCTCATATCCATGGACACCGGAAGTGAAACTTCAGGAAAGTTTTTATTCTAAGGAATCCTTTTTAAGATGTTTTCTACTTTTATAATTAACTTAAAGTTTCATATCTTACTGAAATGGTTTTTTATAACTTAGATTTTTAATTTTCAATTAAATTTTTCATTCTTCTCTTTACTTATTTATTTTGATGCGTATTGTTACGGACACTATGTTCATACAAATTTTTAAAGCTAGTCTGCAGCTCTAATTCAATTTTCGAAAACAACATTGTTGCGCTACTCCAATGAAAAAACAGCTGCGTACATCCCCACTCTGTTCACACCTTCGGCGGCTAACGCCTCGCTAAATGCAGGTGTCTGCACCGCCGCGGCCTCTTTGCTCTCGGACTTTGCCAAAGTCGAATCGATCGAGAGCTTGGTTAGGGGCTTTTGTTAATAAAAAGTTGATTTATTTCAAACCCGGCATTTCTCTATTTCACCTACTTTCACAGTGATGGTTCTTGTGAGTACAAGACGCCCTGTCCCCTTCTCGCATCGCAGCGACAACTCTGCTTCTACAAGCTTCACCATCAGCCGCTAGGTGGCATGACAACATACGCAACCAACTTGCCTTCGCCAGGCTCAACACTCGGGACCGTTAACTCTCCAGCCTTACACGCCTGAATTCGAGATGTCCCAGTATTTTTCCACCATCACAGCGGACGATCCAAAGACATCCCAGCCGACGTTGCGCTTCCTGATCTGAGCCAATTCTAATTCGACTGACGCGCAAGAAACATGACAAGCTTCGCCGCAAAACGTTCTACTAATAAAGAAAGAAGCAAGGAGGGAGTAGAGGGCTGATCAATCCATCGGTTCTTTTCAGGGCCACACAAAAAGAAATAGACTTAAAAGCGACTTTCAATCTGTTGACTGCTGCCCGTCACAAGACAGAGGTCACGCAGGTCTTTGCAGCTACCATACCCTCCTGATATCCCACTCTACTCTCCACCGAGTGTTTTACTCAATATTCTTCCTTCAAAATTTGATCTTTTGCATCGACCTTCTTCGGACTTCATTCCTTTTATTTAATTGAAACTTATAATTCATTAAAGTGACTTAAGTTTCAATAATTCTCAGCTAGCGAGCCGCTAATATCACCAGCTAAACCTCGTTAGCCTCTCCGCTCTTTGCTGCTGGTGACTTCAAGGTCTAACCGGCTTGCCCTTCTTCGATCACTCAAATCGTTCGGTTTAGGAACTTTTTGGCTTGTTCACTCCAGCAAATGTTTACTATATCCCTACCCTACAGCACTAGCAACATTTTTTCGAACTGAAATACTGGATGATAAAAAGTGGATCTTATAATAGTGTTCATTCAACTACTTAAATGTTAGATGAGATTCTTCTGATGTCGAATCGTGAATGACATGCGGTCAAAAATGTATTCACGATTGCGTTAATGATAGGATGAACTGTTTAGGAATCAAAATTATCTGTATAGTGATAAATCATAAAATAATAGAAGTATCTTACTTACGAGCCATAATCATACTTAATACAAAATTTTATTGCAGACGGGATTGACTCCATTGATGGAAGCAGCCAGTGGAGGTTACATTGAGGTCGGAAAAGTGTTGATAAGTAAAGGAGCTGATGTTAATGCTACTCCAGTCCCTTCGTCAAGAGATACAGCTCTTACAATTGCTGCTGATAAAGGTCATAACCGATTTGTTGAACTATTATTGCAGAGGTATAAATGCTTTACTCTATTTTTTTATAAATTGAAAAATAAATTTCAAACTTTTTTAATAGAATTAAAAAACAGATATTGATGAATTAGTAATTTACGATACAAGTGCCATAAGTAGCACTTTTTAGCTTGACATATTTTAGAACCCGTGGGACGAGTATCGTACGACATTTTATAATACTGTACTAAATTCACATTCATGCCCCCTTTTCCGATACATAAGTCGAACTTTCTGGTAACGCAAAGTGAGGTTATCACACGAGCGTATGCGAGTGTGATGCAAACGTCGAGGTGCCAGAAAGTGTGACTTATGCCACCGTAAAGTGTGCCATAAATGTGAACTTATGCCACGCAGTGCTACAAAATTTTTCTGCACATAACCGCGTCCCAGCGGAAAATCATTCTCGAAATTCTGCACCGATCGAAAATTTTTAACTCTTTGAAAATATTACCAGTAGCATTAAAAAAATATTTGACTCATGCAAATCCATGAATTTTGACATTATTTTTCTGATACCTTCTTCTCAATACCACTTTTTAAACGATTTTGAACGAAAAATTCTTTGAAAAAACAAAAATCTAATAATACTGTTTTTCCTGAAATCAAAATTCTTTTTTCCCAAAAAGAGTTTATTATTCTTATATTATTCTTATATAACCTGTAGAATTTTGAAATTCGAATATCATTTTAAGGAGAGGCATACACCAATTCACTCCTCTTTGAAGTTTTCGTGATATAAATCATAGTTTAATGTCGATCTACATTCTCAATACAACATTGACAGCTTTGAGCACTAAAACATGTGGGAAAAGTTGTAGAATAGGCATTTTCATCTACTAACAGCTTATATTTGCTTTTCTAGGACTTTGGCACTGTGCGCAAGGTACAGATCAAAGTTTTATAGGTGGTAATTTCTGGTACGAAGTAAAATCTTCAGAAAAGTAACCTTTATAGGCTGAGAGTTTTGTGGAATTTTGATTGAGTTTTAAAAAATTTTTTATGCCAACAGATGTATAAAAAATCAAGAATCAAAACGGTGCCGAATCATAGAGTGATCGAATCATAAAACAGATTCGATTTATCTGTTATATAGATGAGCAATTCCGGAATTTAGTTTCGAATTTTTCGACTAAAAACGGAACAATTTTTTTTCGTTGGACGCATACTTTGAACATTGGGTATTGTTCTTGAAGGTCCTAGGAAGCTAAAAAAATGCGTGAACAATCGAAATTTTAATAGGTAATTTTTTTATAAGCATTTGTGTTCCGAGGAAAAATAATTAGTGCAGGCAAAACGCGCGCTCCATTATCCACCGATCAAAACTTTTCTAATTCGCTGGTAAAACTACTAGTGACCTTGAAAAAATAATCGACACATGTATTTTGAAAGATTTTTACATGCTCTTTCCGATGGTGACCTTAGATTTTTCGAAAAACGCATTATATGGCCAAAAAAACGGCTCAAAAGTCAAGCGTATTTATACAAAAAAAACACTTTTTTGAGCTATAAGCATATATAGTAGGGTGGTCCACTTTTTCAAAAATTTTTTGTATCTCGGGGGATCCATCGGAATCAGAAAATTTGAGGTTTAAAATGAATTTTCCCATAAACTAGAACTCAAAAAAATGATTTTAGATGGTGTCGATGGATTTTTGAAGTTTAAAAACGAGCTCCAAAAAAGAAGCAAAATCGGGCTATCATTCGATTTATTTCAAACTCTGTTTAGAGTGTAAAAATAATCTTGACAATACATTTTCTTATTTGTTTTTGTCAGCAGAATTGAATGCTGTAGTCAGTTTTGACCTAGGAGCACAATTTCATTCAAAAAAATACACTTTTTCGATCGTTCTTTTTCGCAAATTCCGCAAAGTTCATTTTCGAGCGAGTGGCAAATGAACAGAAAAAATCTAGAAAATTTTTTGACACCACCAAAATTTAGGATTTTTCATGACAAATCAAATGGTATAAATTAGTATACACTTTGAAATTATTTTAATGCAGAAAAATACAACTTTATCCCAAAAAACGACATTACGAAAAATTGAAAAATCGAAAAGTGTATTAGTTTCTTCCAGGAAATGGCTAAGTAGAATCAACTATGGAAAAAATTGCATGAAACTATCTGATAGGTTTTTTTCTCACCTTTCCAACGCCGGTTTCAGAAGTTAAAAATTCGCAAGATTCGCTGAGATACAGCTATTTTTGTACGATGCATTTTTTAGGCTTAAAATTCAATAATTCTGAGCTAGCTCTATTCATTAAAAAACCAGCGAAGCAGAATTTAAGCTAAAAAATGCATCGTACAAAAATAGCTGTATCTCAGCGAATCTTGCGAATTTTTAACTTCTGAAACCGGCGTTGGAAAGGTGAGAAAAAAACCTATCAGATAGTTTCATGCAATTTTTTCCATAGTTGATTCTACTTAGCCATTTCCTGGAAGAAACTAATACACTTTTCGATTTTTCAATTTTTCGTAATGTCGTTTTTTGGGATAAAGTTGTATTTTTCTGCATTAAAATAATTTCAAAGTGTATACTAATTTATACCATTGGATTTGTCATAAAAAATCCTAAATTTTGGTGGTGTCAAAAAATTTTCTAGATTTTTTCTGTTCATTTGCCACTCGCTCGAAAATGAACTTTGCGGAATTTGCGAAAAAGAACGATCGAAAAAGTGTATTTTTTTGAATGAAATTGTGCTCCTAGGTCAAAACTGACTACGGCATTCGATTCTGCAGACAAAAACACATAAGAAAATGTATTGTCAAGATTATTTTTACACTCTAAACAGAGTTTGAAATAAATCGAATGATAGCCCGATTTTGCTTCTTTTTTGGAGCTCGTTTTTAAACTTCAAAAATCCATCGACACCATCTAAAATCATTTTTTTGAGTTCTAGTTTACGGGAAAATTCATTTTAAACCTCAAACTTTCTGATTCCGATGGATCCCCCGAGATACAAAAAATTTTTGAAAAAGTGGACCACCCTACTGTATATGCTTATAGCTCAAAAAAGTGTTTTTTTTGTATAAATACGCTTGACTTTTGAGCCGTTTTTTTGGCCATATAATGCGTTTTTCGAAAAATCTAAGGTCACCATCGGAAAGAGCATGTAAAAATCTTTCAAAATACATGTGTCGATTATTTTTTCAAGGTCACTAGTAGTTTTACCAGCGAATTAGAAAAGTTTTGATCGGTGGATAATGGAGCGCGCGTTTTGCCTGCACTAATTATTTTTCCTCGGAACACAAATGCTTATAAAAAAATTACCTATTAAAATTTCGATTGTTCACGCATTTTTTTAGCTTCCTAGGACCTTCAAGAACAATACCCAATGTTCAAAGTATGCGTCCAACGAAAAAAAATTGTTCCGTTTTTAGTCGAAAAATTCGAAACTAAATTCCGGATTTGCTCAGATATATAATAAAACAGATTCATTAATGTTTTTGATCACACATTGAATAATAAAACTGATATGAAAGTCTAAATCAAAATTATACAAAACTCAGCCCATAATGGATACTATTCTGAAGATTTTGCTTCGTACCAGAAATTACCACCTATAAAACTCGGATCTGAATTTTGCGCAGAGTGCCAAAGTGCTAAAATAGAAAAAATAAGCTATTTTTAGATGCAAAGGCCTATTCTACAACTTTTTTTTCATTCTATAGGGCTCAAAGTTGTCAATATTGTGTTGAAAATGTAGATTGACATTAAACTATGAATTATATCACAAAAATTCTATAAAGGAGTGAATTGGGTTAGGACTCCCCTTAAGCCATAAAATAGGCTGATAATCCTCTTAAAATATCAAAACGATGAGGTGTAGCACTTTTTTACTCTATCAAACTTGTTTTTTAATGATACAAAAATTTTGTCTCTAATATTTCTTTTGTATTCTTTCTGCTTTCGGAGTCATTGATTCATAAAAACATTTGAATTTTTTCAGTAACGCTTTGGTAGAAGTTAAGAATAAAAAAGGGAATAGTCCACTTTGGCTTGCCGCAAATGGTGGACATTTGAGCGTTATAGATGTACTATTTCATGCTGGTGCTGATATTGATTCGCAAGATCAAAGAAAGGTTTGTTATTGATACTTATAAATATACATATCAAAATAATTCATCGACGTTGATATCGTCAGTTCCGATTCATTAGCGAAAACTAACATCGACATTTATTCAGCAACAAAAAATAGCGTATTTCAGGGTCCTTAATAGAAAACTAACACTTTTCGATATCGTGTAACAAAAACTAGCACATTGGAATAATGCTTTTAAATAAGGGAGTACTCAAACAAGCTTGACTAGATCGAGTACTCACCATATTTTCGAGTTTTAGCTAAATAAATGATGCATTAACAAAATCATGAATATCTTCGGTACATGTGCGTTACATACTCGCAGAGCTGATATTTTCACAATTTATCGAAATTCTGTACAGAAGGTGACACTTTTCCATTTAAATTAACATATGAATGTATTGATCTTTGTAAAGAGCGTCGATATATATAAAATGCGTGCACATGCAACGGGGACATTCATAGTTTTGTTTATTCATTATTTATTTAGTAAAAACTCGAAAATACTCGAGTACTCGAAAGATCACGAGAATTTGAGGTTCTTCTGTTCTGTTTAACTCTTCCAAGCAGCAGTGTAAATAACTTATGGAGCTTCACTCTTTGCGTGCACGCTGACCTCCTATGTTTATTTATCGTTAAGGCAATGCCAAAGCTTCATTTTTTACCGACAGAGCACCAAAAATTAAACTTATTCTTTAATTTTTTATTCTGAATTATGAAAAATGGATGTTTGGTGCCCTCTGTTTTATTGCTTTGAAGTGGTGCAAATTTTAATTTTCGTTAAGTGGTCTCCCATTAAAATAGAATAAAAAACTTCAACATTTTTTTAAATGGCATTCAAGTAAAATATAGAATCAAAAATTTGGATCCCATTTTCCTGGTAAACCACTCGATGACAAGTGTTGCAATTTGCATCAATTTTTCTGAGCAATAAAACAGAGTCAACCATAGAGCCGTTTTTCAAATTTCAGAATGAACAGAGAAAGAATAAGTTAAACTTTTTGTTCTTTGTCAGTGAAAACGAGGCGTAAGCATAGCCTTAAAAGGAATTATACAGCAAGCATGACCGAAAAATTAATTTGTCTGTTTTCTTTAGATTTTTGGACAAGTATCATTTCCCTGAGTTTTAAAAATCAAAAAATTTATTTATGTCATCATAGCGCGTCTATGTACCTAAAATCAATAAAAATGCGATATTTTTTAATTCCTACTGTTTCTTTCGATTATTCAACTAACTCTACCATTGTTTTGCAGCCCGCTTCCAATTTGAACATTCAGTTGATTTTTCATACATTTTTAATTTTTCAGTAGCAACATTATTTTTTGTCTTAAAATTCGATTTGGCCACCTAGGTTAGACAAGCATTTATATTTGGCTGTAATTCACTATTTATTGCTACTATTTAGTGCTGCTTCTTGTGTTTTTTGGAAATCAATAGAAGCAGTGTTGAGTTGCGCCGGCAAAAGTAGCAGTAAGTAATAGAGTAAAGTTGTTAATTGCACATGTGAAAATGCGTATGATAAAAAATGTCACGTGTGTCGCTAAAATGACAATGAATCTGTGTAGTTTTGTTCCAGTTAAAAGAGTAGTATAATGTACATTTTCAGCCTTACTATCAGTTATAATTTTTCGTCATGTGCATTTATATAAAAAAAATTCAGGGTTTACTCACTTTTTCTAGTTTACATTGAGCACACTTATCTGAATCAAGGACTAGTGTACACGATAAACACGTATGTGTACTAAACAAAAATGTCTATCGAAATATTCAATATTTAAAAAAAAACTCTTATGTCAAAAAAATTTTTAAATTAATTTTTATTTGATTATGTAAGTGTGTTTTTTCCCAACTTTTATTAGTCTGTAAACATCGATTTAAATTACTTTAGATAAGTCCATATTTAGTGATTTTCAAAGGACTTGCTTTACACAATAAGATACATAACTTAGTTTGTAAAAAATTGTCAGCTTAAAATATTTAAAATTGTCTATTTTCCACCAGTTTTCTGCGGTCAGTCTTTTCTTGTGGTTGGTAAAATATTTCAGGACATAATCATGTTAAACCCAAAAGTCGATATTTTTTTTTCAATTTTTAATTCTTAACTCGTGATTGAACTTAGTAATTGAAAAATATAAAATTAAAAGATTTGACATGAGTTTAAATTCATTCTAACCCATGTTTTTTAAAATTCGTCAGATTTCGATCATTTTTTTATGTTAAAAACAATAACAAATTCATCTATTGAAAATTCTTTCCTTCAATCATAAGCTAAGAGCCTAAAGTTTGAGAAAAAATTGTTGGATTTTTATTTCAGACGATCCTACATCGAAATATCTTGCCTACCACAAATAAAGACTGGCAAAGGGAAACTAGTGGACAATGAACAATTTTTAATATTTTAAACTTTAATTTTTTTACAATCTCTTTAAATAAGAAACGTTACTGTTCATGTACTTTAAATCAATCAGACCCATATTTTTTTATAATTTAATGTTATTAAAAAAAATTTTTTTTTTAAATCATGTACTTTTTTCGATTACCTTAAATAAAGTTCACAGGTGAGACTGAATATTATCTTAGATTTATTTCTATAATTAACTTATAATAAATGATCATGATTCTATTTTTATTATGTTTATAAAATGGTTATTTATACTGATTTTTATGTATAATTTGTTTTAGGTATCTTGTTTGATGGCAGCTTTCAGGAAAGGACATGTCAAAATAGTAAAATGGATGGTTAACCATGTTTCCCAATTTCCTAGTGATCAAGAAATGACCAGATACATTTCGACTATAAACGATAAAGAATTGTTGGGCAAATGCCATGACTGTGTAAAAATAATAAGAGCAGCTAAAGAAACTCAAGCTGCTAAGGCTAATAAAAATGCAACAATTTTATTAGAAGAACTTGATATGGAAAAAACAAGAGAAGAATCTAAAAAAGCTGCAGCAGCTCGAAAAAGAGAACGTAAAAAGAAGAAGAAATTAGAAAAAAATATAGAAAGACAAAAATTAAAAAATGAAGTCTTTGGAGGCGTTATAAACGAGGACAAGTCTTCAGCCGAAAATAAAGTTAAATGTGCAGATAAAAACGATTATAATATTGTTAGATCGACAGAAGAGCCGAAAACTTCCATAATGAAAAATTCTAATGATGAAATTACGGAAAATTTGGATAAAAAGAATACTAGTCAAGTATTATCAAACCAAGAGACAAATGAAGAACTTGAACCATTGCCTAGCTCAATTCCTGCCTTCAGTAAATTAAAAAAGAAGCGTATGAGTAATACAACAGTGCCAATGACAACTCAAAAAGATAATTCTAATGTATCTTATATCAGGTAATATTTCATTTTTTTTTTTTTTAATTTCAAACATAAAATTACAACTTTTATAAACTCTACCGTGTTCGACTAAAAATATGCCGTACCTCAAAAATGTGTGATGAATTCGCATCACACTCGCATACGCTCATGCACTAAACTCACTTGGTGTGATCAGAAAGTGCGACTTATGCATTGGAAAAGGTGACATAAATGTGAACTTAGTACAGCTATAAAATGTTGTATGATACTCGTGCTATGGGGATACTTTTTGGCCCAGCTATTAGGACCCAAAAGTGTTACTTATGGCAATGGTATCGTAAAGTACTATTAATTAATTCTGAATTGAAATTCGAATTTCTGTATCAAATTTTACACAGAAAAAAAACTGTAGTAAATGTTAACATGTGTTAACATATTCATACATAATCGCTAGAACAAGTGCCCCAGAGTTGAATTATTGGCGTTTTCTACTATGTACAATATGCATGCTAAATATTACTGTAATATTGAATTATTCATGTAATTTTGTATTTCAAAAATATTTATAAGGTATTCTAATAATTGTTATGTTACATAGTAATAATTAGTATGTAGCAAATTTTACTACATATTATGGGAAAATGTGAGGATGAATAATTCAAAAGTTATTTTGTATTGTAACAACTTTTACGATAGTCAAAGCTTTTCGATTTCATCAACAGATGGAGTATGGTCAATTCCTGCAAGCGTCAGAAAAAATATCCGATTGGTATACATGTATATTAGACTGACAATATTTTTTTTTTTTTAAATCGACGGGACGCCCCCTCAAAAGTTTAAAACCCCCAAAAAAATGACCTCTACCAAGTTTCAGCTCATATGGTGAAAAAAACCCGTGCCACAAGACGGGTGCGGATTTACATTCAATTAACTACAAATCGAGAAAAGTGCATTTGTTTCTTCAAAAAACGGCTCAGCAAGATCACCTATTGAAAAAATGTGAATGCATTGTTTGATAGGTTTTTGTCTCGCCTTTCCAACGCCGTATTCAGATTTTAAAGCGGCCTTAATTTCCTCGAGATACAGCTGTTTTTGTGGGATGCGTTTTTGTAGCTGAAAATTCAGTAATTCGGCTTCGGGTCCTCAAAAAATCACGTTTTTCTTCACACGTTACAACATTCTGAGAAATCTATAGGAGCTACCGAAAAGAAATTTACTCTAATTTTTTTGGTATAATTTTTGCAAAATTTTGGTTTAAGATTCGTTTTTCGGCACGAAATCGCTCATAAGATCTGAAATAATGCAACAATCTCAATTTTTCCGCCAGATTCTGAAAGGTGAGAAAATTTTGCATCGAAATACGTATCGCTCATAGTTGTCAAATTTTTTGGGGTTGGCTCAGACATTCGTATAATACGAAAAAACGAATTTTTTAGTTAATTATTTTAACCCATTAAGTCCCAAGAAGACGTTTTTTCAACCCTTTATTCGTCCACTGTATTTTTGGTAAAAATGGGGTCAAAAAAATATGCGAGTAACTAATTCTAATGTAAAATTTAATGCCCATTCAGAATCTGATCTCAGATTTTCGAAAAAATGATCAGGTCAAAAGTTAAACTTGATTTTATAAAAAAAAACGTGATTTTGAAAAAAAATTTTTTTTATTTTTCGAATTTCCAAATGAAAACCATTAGAAATCTTAAGGGTTTCGTGAAAATATCGCGTCCTCGATATCTAAACTGAAAGTTAGCGGGGTACCGATTGAAAAAATTAATGTTTAAACACAAAAAATGGCGGTTGAAACTCGCAAAATTGAATGAAAACTTATAGAATTTTTACTCAAAAACGAAGGACTTGAGAAAAAAGTGTATTTTTTAACTTTATTTTCTTCAATCTAAACCCCACTAACTTTTAGTTTAGGTATCGAGGACGCGATATTTTCACGAAACCCCTAAGATTTCTAATGGTTTTCATTCGGAAATTCGAAAAATAAAAAAAATTTTTTTTTCAAAATCACGTTTTTTTTATAAAATCAAGTTTAACTTTTGACCTGATCATTTTTTCAAAAATCTGAGATCAGATTCTGAAAGGGCATTAAATTTGACATTAGAATTAGTTACTCGCATATTTTTTTGACCCCATTTTTACCAAAAATACAGTGGACGAATAAAGGGTTGAAAAAACGTCCTCTTGGGACTTAATGGGTTAAATCTACACCCGTCTAGTGGCACGGGTTTTTTTCACCATTTGAGCTGAAACTTGGTAGAGATCATTTTTTTTTGGGTTTGAAACTTTTGAGGGGCGTCCCGTCGATTTAAAAAAAAAAAAATATTGTCAGTCTAATTTATATACAAAAAAGTTCAAACATATAACATATGCCTGAAAGGTATAGATAGTTAGAATAAGGTTAGAATACCAACTATGCTAATATGAATACACTGCGGTTAGGTAGGTTAGTTTTCTAAAGGCAAGCAAATATTTGTTTGTACATATCGACGAATAGAGTAATTTCATGATCACAGAAAGCAGAGTTAAGTCGAATACTTTGAGCTCTCAAAAAATCGAAAAATCATCTCGGGAAGCCACTCAAGAAAATTATCATTTTAAAATAATTTTACTAATCTTTTAAAATACCTAAAAAAAATTAATATATATCAACTCTGGAGCTCTTTTCTAAAGAACATAGCAATTTTTGATAGCGAATGTGTTGATATTTAATATATTATTTCTTTCCGTGTAGGAGGTAATTATCAAAAGTATAAACAAGCCAAAAATACAATAAAAAAAGAAAAAATTTCAAAAAGTTGAATCATTAATAGTCCCTGAATAAAAGAAAGGACTCCACACAATTTAAGTTTGAATTACTTTTCATTCAATGTTTTTGAAATTTTCGAGGTATATTTTTCAGAGCACATAAATCAAAAGTTTTTACGAATCAATCATTTCACACTGCTACAAGAAACAAAATGGCAAAAGCTAAAATTTCTATAACTCAGTGAATTATAGTTAGATAAAAAGTTAAAATTAACATTCAACAATAATCAACATTCAAAATTGATAATCGAGTCATATAAAGGTGTCCATGGGCTTTGCTTAATATATTAAAATTTGTCTGAATTTAGAGAAAAATACTGCTAATTTTTTGTCGTCATCTGCTTCTCCGTCACGATACAACTATAGACGATGCTAATTGATAGCAATCAATTATCAACTATCAACTATCTGATATCAGTCTCTTGTGAAATATTTTCTCCCAAACTGTGAGACTTCTTTTCTACAAAGAATTAATTTCACTCTCGAAAACTTTTCTGTGCTATTCCAAGCAAGAAATGCATATTACAAACAATGAAATAACATTGAAGTAGTAAAATGACACCTGTTTTCTTCAATTTTCTTCGAATAATATTGTTCCTGTCAATCATTGAATAAAATAAATTTTTTCCAGGAATCCAGCCAATAGAGATGATTTTGAAGCAACCGGTAATGACTTCTCAACATCGAAAAGTGATATAAATAATTCATTTGAGTTTGATTCGGCATTTGATGATGGATTTGATGTAACAAATAACTTACAAAATATTAATCAATCGAATGACGGATGGAGAGAAGTTGTACGAAAGTGAGTAAAGATTGTATAAAAAATACTATTTTGATATCATATTTAAATTCTAATTTATTTGCAGAGGTCAAACGGAAGATTCAGGGAAACATTTAAGCTCAACAGTGCGTGTAAAGAAAGTGTCAGTACCGCCTGTGGCAATCAGTCGAGTGATAGGTAGAGGTGGTAATAATATAAATACGATACGTAACTCAACTGGAGCTTGTATTGAAATAGACAAACAAAGCAAAATTTGTGGGGAAAGAACAATAACTATAAAGTAAGCTTTTTATTTACTATAATTCTGTGGTGGAAAGGGCTAACGAGATAACTCCATTTTTTTCGAAATCGAGTTTATGACATGAATTACCTATATGTTATGTTTACTTTAAGGTAAAAGTGTCACAAAAGCTGAAGAGAGCACCTATCGTTCAATATAACACCGTGCCTAACGAGATAAGTCCATTTCGCTGCAAACGATTCCCGGCCAAACGAGATAAGTCCACCTTTGCGAGCTCCAAAATGCGATAAAGAGTTTACTTTGATTTGAAAATGGAAGAAAATGATATTCCAACATACAAATGGCTCTTACGCTCTTTAATGTTGTGAATTTCACTATACGGTTGGTACATTTGATACACGAGGGGCCATTTTCGCGATTTTCAGTTTGGCCTTTTTTCGTTGCAAGATTTGAGATCTGACATCAGTATAACGTTAAATGAGCTATTTCATCAATGTCAAATCATTAAATGAGGTTTTGATCACAAACTAAGCGAAATTATCGATATTGAAAAAAGTGTGACCGCTAAAAGTGGACTTATCTACTAAGCGGAGAAAGGGCTAACGAGATAAGTCCATATTTTTTGCTCCGTATCATCACTATGATGCGTCTTTCAATTTCACAAGTACATAGTTCAAAAGATACCTCAAAATAGGTAAAAATATCATAGGTACAGATCTTTAGTCGTCCGCGTCTAGCTAGGCCCTCGTGCGCAACTTAAAACGCGTTTTTCTCGAAAACACGAAAAATGGAGTTATCTCGTTAGGCCTTTCCACCACAGAATTGTTTTTAATATAATCTAGTAATTTTATAATTAGTTGACAGATTTTTATGCATTTTATCGCTAATGCGTCACTCAAAACATTAAAAGTCTCCTTTGTCCTACCTTTAGTAGTCTGCCGGTAAATTTTCTTATATATATATCAAGCAAAAAATATGACAATTTTTTTTTCATGTTCCAGCTCCTCATAATTTTAATGTATTTTTTTGTATATTGTGAGTCAACATATTTTCGAAAATTGGTGCTGTCTCCAAAATGTTGTCTCGTTTGCTCATTCTGCTTCACAATCATTAATACTCACTACTAATTATTTTTTTATAATTCATACTTTTACTCATTTACTCACAATTTGACCGGCTAATATTTTCCTTGATTATTCACCTAAAATCGATCGAGAATTGTTATGGATTGAATCGGTTTCCACTTGAACTTGTACATCGCTTAGCACACAAAAACCCAAAAACCTACATAAAAATCAACTTGCAAATTCAAGTGAAAATCTACCTAAAGGTCACGCTAACATAGACTCGAAAATTTATGCTCAAATCAACCTAAAAACTCATACGAATTTCCTGGGAACCCATGAATTAATTCACATGGAATTGGTCTCAATTCACTTGGCTCTTTTATAATATGCTGCAAAAATTTGTGACTTGCGAAAATTTATCGTAAAATTCTTTCTTCTCCGAAATAACTAATAAAATTTTACGAAACCGATCAAAAGTTAGCTACAAACTTCAACAGAAATTCGTTTCCTCCTAGAAGTAGCTTTGTGATAGACTCTTAAACGAGTTTGTGAACCAGATGTCGTAGGATAAGTTAGCGCACATATTCGTAAACTATACTGAATTTTCAACCTGAAAGTGCGTATTTAATGGACCTATCGTTATGGAAAGTTATTATGTAACTACACTGAAAGACTTTCCGAGCAGGCTGGGCTCTGGCCAGAGCATACTATGCGCAGAACGCCAGAGTGTGCTGTTCTCGTGTAATCGGAGTGTAGGCTACTCTGATCTTTAGCACAGCACGTACCGATGACAAGAGCAGTTACCAAAATCGACCGACAGTTAACCTCTTTTCGCGCCTTTAGTTTCGTCGTCTGCTTTTGCAGCCCAATCAACCGTCGAGTCCGTGCGTGTACGACATCGCAGTTAGACAAGAGACGAAACACTCGTAAGGCGTTGGATCTCGTGCTTTGACATCGGAGTAGCCTGTGCTCTGATGCGGCCCGGGTACGAGACGCTCGACCATCAGAGCGCAGCATGCTCGGAAAGTCTTTCAGTGTAGCATAACTTTTGAACAGTGGCACGTATTTGAGTGTGGTTAGACTATGTTTATAGCATATATGTAGTATAGCGTGAGCATATAACGTTAAAAACTTGTTTAGACATTCATCGATTATTTAAAAAATTATTTTCTTTTTTTATTTGGGAAATCGTGTTTTCTTCATTTTTTTAAAAGACTTAATGTTTTGTTACTCTGTTTTTTTTTAACCGGATGTGTTTTTTTCGTGGAGTGTGTGTTCTAATATGTTTTAGTTAAGGATAAATAAATTTTCAAATAAAATTTTGTTGTGTTCAAGAATAAACTTTTTTTTTATCTTGTGATCAAATTTCACTTTTACGTGACCAGGTATTTTCATTTCGACCAGACAAGTCATGTTTTTGTGGAGTATGCGTCTAATTAAGCGTCAAAAATTTTTTATAGATATTGGCATTAAATAACATAAAGGAGATTTTTGGAGAATTTTTTTTTACTCTATGCATGCTGACCAAATAGATATTTTAAGATTTTTGAAAGGATTAAAAGTTCTCGGTGAGTCAGCTAACCAGTTTTTATTTTTGAGGGAAAATCAATAATTTTCTATAGTGAGAGGTTCTAAATATAAAGAAATTTTTTCAGTAATATTAAAAAATGTTCACTCGCTTATTTTCAACAGTCGATGTTAAAATCGATGTGTCCTCGTAAACTGTGAAATAATATATAAATCATATATCAGTTAGTGATTTTACACTTAGTATGAATATTAACGTTTGTTTCAGGGGAGATTCTCATTCATTAAAGCAAGCTTATGATCTTGTTACACTTTTGGTTAATAATCAAGATATGGATTTACCTGCTACGGTATCGAAATCAAAATCCCATGGCTGTATGGCTCCAACTTCAATTGAAAAAAATGTTACAGCTTCTACTGTGAGTATACTAATGACATTTAGACTATGAGGGTTTGCGCAAAACACAATTTGATACGTCTAGAAACAAACAAAAATTTATTTTATCATAATTAGCTATTACACCTAATATGTACCAACTTTTGAATTAACTATTAAATATATATGCTTACTCTTCTTTCCTACTTCAGTAAAGTCTCTTTAGTAGACTCTTAATATTAATAGTCGTTCTTATGATAATAATTAGTATGAAATAATTAATTAGTATTTTCAAATAATCACTTTGAGTGTATGAGCTTCCGAGAATTCATGCCTCTCTTTCTCTCTCTGTCTCCCGACCCTGCCGGACCCCGATTATAAATTTTTGCGCTTGACCAAGAAGGGAAGGCAATCTGCCTTTGACTCGGTTTGGTCTGACTACATACATATGGGGCGAATCATGATAGATGCCCCAGCGGTGTGCGCGAGTGCGCAAAACAGACAAATCACGCAGTTTTTGACTCGCTGTACGGACTTTATATTCTATCTAGAAAAACTTACGGATAAGTGGTGAGGTCAAAAATGCAAAAATCAGCCTCCATAACCTCAAAAAATGGACTTGAACATAAAACACGCTGTATCTTTTTTGGCGCCAGGTTTAGAGTTTTATTGAGGGTTTAGATCGAAAGATCTTGCAATTTTACATAAGAAATGACTCTAAAAAAAGGGACTTTTTCGATTTTCTCGAGCGGTGAAGAAGGAAAGAACGCGCGGTCGGCCGTTTCCGAGCGCCGTGGCCTGTTTTTTCGCTACACTTTACGTTTCTTTATTTATCACGCGTTAGGCTTTCGCCATAAAAATAAACAAATACATGGTTTTTGTGTATTTTTTCCTCATCTTTCTAATGGTGCAATTAGTTTTTGTAAAATTGGCTTTTTTGAACGGATAAATTAACTTTTTGATTAATAGTTTCATTATTTTCGTTTTATTCACGAAACAAAGCCATTTTTCCAAAAACTAATCACACCACTGGAAAGATGAGGAAAAAATATACAAAAACCATGTATTTGTTTATTTTTATGGCGAAAGCCTAACGCGTGATAAATAAAGAAACGTAAAGTGTAGCGAAAAAACAGGCCTTGGCGCTCGAAAACGGCCGACCACGCGCTCTTTCCTTTTTCACCGCTCGAAAAAATCGAAAAAGTTTCGATCTAGACCCTCAAAAAAACTCTAAACCTGGCGCCAAAAAAGATACAGCTTGTTTTATATTCAAGTCCATTTTTTGAGGTTATGGAGGCTGATTTTTGCATTTTTGACCTCACCACTGGAAAGCTGAGGAAAAAAAACATCGAAATCACTTATCCGTGATTTTTTCTGGATAGAATATGAAGTCCGTACAGTGAGTCAAAAACTGCGTGATTTGGCTGTTTTGCGCACTCCCGCACACCGCTGGGGCATCTATTATGATTCGCCCCATATCTACGCTCGCAAGAATCATAGTGCCGAACACGTTAAACTGATTACTGAGGCGGACCTGGACTTGATCGCATGACTCGTGGATAAAAGCTTCTCTGACTGCGATCCGCTTCGGTGGAGGCGCGCTCTTGCTTACGAGTACTACTGATATGGGAAAATCTCACAAACTTTTAACCTCTATGTTATGGCCCTTTGATGAATTATTATAAAATAACTATTAGGTGAATGATGATTTGAAAAATATCACGTCATTCATCAAATCTGTAAGATTCCTAACGTATTTTTTAATTTATTGCTTTCTCATATTGATTATTTCTATTTATCACGTTTATCCTCGAAAAATGGAAAATTTCATTTGTTATCGACGAAGTTTTGGGTGATTTATTAATCTATAAATTGTATTTATAAAAAGTACCTTATTCTAAATAAGATTATATTAAATAAAAAACTTTATTACATGTTATCTTTTCAAAAACTGACACGATTGACCTTCCATATCAATGGTACGAGCTTTCAAACTTTGTTGTGGATTTCCGATGTCGCATCCGCAACACGACACAATTTCCAAAAAATAATGATCAAATCTAATTTAGGTATGGTTCGCACCTAGGTATTAAGAAAATTGATCATTTTTCCTATATTATAATAGACCCATAGCATGTTGAATGAATTGTATTTTTAATTCATTTAGCCGTCGGTAAAAACTCGAAAATTGAAACGAACGAATTGCATGTCGCATCCGCAACGAGTGATATCAGAATGAATTTATTGTTTTCGACCTTACCTTAAGTTTTGATCGTTTATGATATGAAAAATCGTGGTTATGATATGAAAAAATTCAAATTTCAGTATGAGTTGGTCAAAGGTTTGTGAGATTTCCCCATATATTTAAATGCTCTCACTGTCTGAGTCTTGGCTACTCACTGTTGTTGGTAGTAGCAGCTGTAGCCAATGTTCCAACAAACAAAATAGTACGATCTCAAAAGTGATCTAAAAGGAGTAATACTCCAAGTATGCATCTAATAGGATAGCTTTGATTAGTGTTGTTTAATTATGTAGTTTTCAGTATAAGTGTCAGATATTTTCTGACACTTTGAGAAAGTTCTTTGTTTGGTTTTGGGATTTTTTGATGATATCCAGGTGAAGCCCAGATAGAATTCGATAAGATTTTTAGTTTTGTATCTCTTTCTATGGAAACAAGCCTCTAGAGTGCTTAGATCATTTTAGAATATTTTTCTTCTGAAAATTTTGACAATTTCCAACAAAAAAGTTTTCTTGCACTTTTTCGTATAAATAACTCTATACTGAGATAGAAATTATTTTATATTTGCGATAATCATGAATTTAGGAAAAATGCCAACTTTGGGCCTCTGAAAAAGGGAGATATATCTTTATGGGTCTATAGACGGTCCGAAAATTCTAATAAAATTTGGGAAGACGTATAGCATCACAAACAAGTTTTTCTATGATCTTAGAAAAAAAAAGTAGTTTAGGAGATTCTATTTCACTGAGAATCTGCTAACTTTTAATGTACATGTTTACGAATTTTTGGTGGTTTTTTTGCTTTTAGAATTTTTTTATTTTTGTATTAAAATTCTATAGATCAAGACTTTAGTTTTCTTATTGAATGATTGTCCAGTCGTAGGCAATTTTTATCTCACAAAAAATCAATTGGCATAATATTAGTGCAATGTTATACAGTTGTTTTTTCAATTTTATATTAAATTTGGGGAATTTGCTGACTGTACTCACGATCACGGTACTCACATTCTAGCATAAAAAGATCCTATTTATTTATAATACATAAATAAAAATTTTTTCTGACTCAGAAAAATTTAATTCACAGTAAATACCTTTTAAAAAAGCTCCAAGATCGAAATCTCGAAATAGCTGGTAGTTAGAATCGATGCTGACGGTACTCTCATTTTTTTTTATTATATAAGCGATAATTTTCAAATTTAATGCTCTGTACATCGAATGTTACTTATTTTTCAACGACGCGGGTGAGTTCAGTGGATTTTGTATTTGAATTGCTTCAAAAATATTCTACGTAGATATCGTTGCAAACAATACTTGTGATGTTCTTTAACAATCCAATGTTGTGCGGCAAATAAACATTTTGATTTTTTTTTTACATTTTAAGGAAAAAAGTAGTAGTAGTAGTAGTAGTAGTAGTAGTAGTTTTCAAAGGCAATTTTCACGAACATCACAACGGGATTTTTAAGCCAAAATATTAACTTTATCAATGGTTTTATACTATTGAAAATGTATGTGTAACACTGAAATTTTATTCAATAAAGTATATAAACTTTAATCGATGGCGATATAGTGTATTTCATTATCAGTTTACTTTCTATGTAAAATTATTTAACAATGTGGAAAAATCGAAAGTTTTAAAGATCGAAATATTTTTTACTTCTCAATAATATTTTTTCGATCAAGGATCCTTACCCGATTTTAGAGTTTTTTAAAGATAGTTTTATGATAAGACTTAATTAAAAACATTAAATAACTTTTTAATTTCACTAACAAGTATTTAATGTGGATTCTTTAAGTAATCGAAGTTAGTATTTGATAACAGTGCAACCCATATCCGTGCTTTTTTAACTAAGGAACATCACAAAAACACTAATCGCATCTGAAGATGACTCTGCTGTTCAATTGTTATGCACGGCCGATTCTCAGTGAAGTAGAATGTCCAAAAAATTTTTTTTCTGCAAATATGAAAAATTCGTAGTTTCTAATGGCAGAAATGCCCCAAAAAATTTTTAGAAAATTTGGGGTCTTCTATGACCCTTTTTCAAAGGCCCAATTGTGAGCCCAATTTTTCATATTTGCAAAAAAAAATTTTTTGGCCATTCGACTTAAATGAAAATCGGCCGTCTACAAATCAAGGTCATTGTAAAGAATCTTAAACATTATGTTATAAATTCATGACGAATTCATGAAAAACAAAGATTTTTCATACCAGCAGCCCGAAAGTGACTACTTCCCTGCCGCTGCGCAAAGCGGGAAGAGCGATTTTCAGGTCACTGTGTATGAAATATAGTATAGGGGAGAGCGGGTTGTGTTGGCATGTGAAGTTAATTGGCAAAATGGTATTTTTCTCCTTATCAATGACTTGAACCGAGATGGTGCCGTTACATAAAAATAATACGTATTATGGTGCTAGCACTACTGATAGTATTATCTCTATTCAAGTTAGTGATATGGAGAAATATGCATTTTTGCCAACTTACCTCACATGCCAACACACCCCGCTCTCCCCTACAGGCCTATGTTGCGAAAGAAGAAAGCTCCAGAGCACGTGTTTATCGGCCTCGGCTTCGCCTAATCCACTAATTACACGTACTCTGGGACCTTTCTGTTTTTCGGGGCCGAGGGCATTAATATCCTATTCATCAATTTTCTTCAAAAATAATTAGTTTCATCCACAATAAAAATTGAAAAAATGATCCATATATTAATTTATTTACAGGTTAACAAATCAAAGGCTTCGTCTCTAAAATCTTCTGGACTAGTTAATGTTACTTCATCACAAACAACTAAGCAAGGGGCAAACTACTCTTGTAGCAATTCTACTAACTTGGTTAATTCTTCATCTGCCCGTTTACTAGGAAGCGTTAAAGTTACAGGAATGCCTGCTATGAATGATCCAACATTGAAACAATTGAGTTCTTCTGAAAAAATAGGATCTACTCGACATACGAATTCTTTAACTAAAACAACTATGTCATACACCACAGCTATTATGACAGAAAGTCGTAAAACTAAAACCACTTCAATTGCATCATCGCAAACTTTTGCTGAAAAACTTTCTGAAAATTCTACAGGCTTGTCATTTTCGGATGAACGTAAAAATACAAAACCAAGCAATTTTAAGCATACTTCTAAAATACAAGTTTCAAGTTCTGAATGGGTTCCAAACGTATTTTTTTCGTCACCAAGTAACGATAATGTTAATAAGTTGGTCGAACCTAATTTTACATCTTCAAGTAATTCACGCTCTATGCCATCATCTCACATAAATAAAAACTTAGAACTAACAGATTCTCATAATAACTTCGTAAAAAACCATAAAACATTACTTCTAAAGGAATCTAGTCCAAATCATCCTAATGATTCAATGTCAAATATCAATGATAAGAATCTTTTTTCTGGTGATTTTCCGAGAACTAATATGAAATCATTAGTTCAAAACTCTATCTCGAAAACAAATGAATTACAAGAATATTCTTTATTTGATGACACATACAATAAAATAGCTCAGCAGTCAATGTGGAATAATAAAACATTGGAACATCCAGAAAATTTTGCGGTGACAAAAAATGCTTCAAACCCCACTAATCCAGTGTACTTTACATCTGAACAATTTTCAAACTTTGAGACCCTGAATGTGGATGTGGCAAAAGCTCCCGGTTATCGTGGTGCAGTCATTAATTCTCCTGAAAGGAATAAAAACTTTTTTATTGATGAAACTTCTAATTGTTCAATGATGCCAATCATGTTAAATGTAACATCTAAATGCTCACCTAATCAGTCATTGAACTTAGAATCCCACAAAAATAGTATCAGAACTTCTTTAAATCCAGTAACACCTACTTATTCATCTCGCAAAGATCAAGATAAAAATAGTTCAAGCATAGATCGGATGACCACTCCAAGGTTTTCAGAAATTGTTAATCAAGATTTTATAGAAACTGAAAAATTTAACAATTTATTATCAATTAATAAATCAGAATACGTATTAAGTGAAACCAAGAATGAATCTTACGAAAGAAAGAAAGTGAATCCAGCAGTTCAAACAGTTATGTTAGAAGAGGACTTGAATTTAAATAAATCAACATTAAATATGCCTAATCAATTCACTAATCACTCCATGAGTGAGATTCCATCAAAATTTATAATAGAATCTAAAAGTTCTCAAATAAATCCAAAAACAGTTGATTTTAACAATTGTCTCAATATAAATAATCAATCACACAAATCAATTTTCAAATCTGTTTCATCTTTGTCTTCCGAATCATATGATAACGCATCGCTCCAAACAAACGTACCTGCAATTCATTCTTCTAATACTGTTGACCAACCCGTTTATAATTACTGCAAATATCCAGTATTGGCACAAGAACAACTTTTAACTGAAAAAAATACTAGTAATATTTCGAATTGGACTTTCATACCTTCTCAACAACATCAATTAAGTCAACATTCTTCGCTCAATCAATCTGAACGTAGTGATTGTTTATCTTTAATGCAATCTTGTAACGCAAACAGAAAAAGTTTTGAAAACAATGTTTCAATGAACTCAATTATTTCTTCCACGTCTTTACAAAATGATGAAAATTGTGAAATTCGAGAAAATAGAAATGATGATAAAAAAATTCCTCGTCCTATTGGTACGGAAAGATCGTGGAAAATGTATCATCCTATTGTAGGATCGACTGGGGATAAGGATTCCGTAAATTGGATGCCAAATAATAATGCTTCATCAAATTCTTGGATAGATCATCCAAATAAAAATGACAGTCAATTCTCTTCTGATTCCAGTTATACATTGATGAAAAAATAAAAATTTTACCAGTAAATAAGCACGACGATCACACAAGGTATAATTAAAATTACTTTTATGTATAGCTCATTTAACAGATATTACGTTAGTTATGCAAAATTTATTATGGCAAGTCATTGAATTTTAAAGTAGTTTACTACCAAATTGGAATTATCGAGAGATTTCTATGAAACTTAGCACACTTCTTGAGGGGAGACTCTCATGAGACTCGATCAGCAAATCGATTTTTTTTTTTGCTTACTTAGTTAGCAAATGTCCCGTTAAATACACTCCAAAAACCCTTTTTACTAAAATCGATTTGGTTAAAAAGTTATAGGCAAAAAACTGGAGCTGTCTTTTTACGAGCAAACGATGTATGTATGTATGTACATTCGCTTTCTAAAACTCTAAACGCGTTTTTCACGAAACCATGTTTTCTGAATCGGGTGGCAAGATATCTCAAATAGTACTGCACTTAAAGACACCCTTTTCTTTATTTTAAAGCTAATTAAATTGTCTGGAGGTTGGTCCTAAAAAATTTCAAATTTTTTCATTGTTATTATTTATTAGAGCCCTTCAAAGAGCCAATAAAAGGCAAAAAAGAAAAATTTTTTTCCGAAGTCCGCTATTTTATCAATTTTTAATTTTTTTGCAATTATTTAGGTTCAACCTCCAACAAATGTCATCTAATTTAAGAGGAACTTCGAATTTTTGGTTTCGGGCAAAAACTGAAGGCGCTAGCTTGCCGCCCGTTGAGGTATTTTTTTTTAACACGACCTTCATCAGACGCTGCTAGGGGATAAATAATTCGATATTTTGGTCTGAAAAAATGTGTAAATATAGTTAAATACATACTTTATAAGTACCAAAAAGCTTGATTGCATTTTTCACTTTGGTCCACGAAAAAAAAAAAATCACGAAAAACACGTCATTTTTGAGGCGCTAGATGAGAGCCTCCCCTTAATGTGTGCGTAAGAAAGACTGATGAATTTTTGGACCCTGGGGTTAACTCTGAATTGAGTTATAAGTAATTAATTTTTTGCACATTTAAGGGCTAACAGGGGGCTTAATTATTTTTCATTTTTCAATAACAGTACTAGGCTGTAAAAGTGAAGAAAAATGTTTTTTTCAAGAACACACATGATAACCCTTTTCAAAACCCTATTTGAAAGTATTTTGTGCAGTTAGATACTTAGAAACAATTGAGTACATAAATAATGAGGGTACTGGTCCTCAATGCAAGCTATACGCATATCTAAGCTACCTGTCGTAGAAATCCAAGAGCAAGCATTAATCGATGGTACCCCAATTGATTTCATTTTGTTCGATAGTCAATTGGCCATGGTCGCAACCAACAGTTAGCCATAAGATGAACTGTAGCTACTTGTACTTATAGCAAAGTGAAATTAATTTATGGAAAATGATAAAAAATGAATAATAAATTCTAGAAAATTGTACAAACAAGTAGCTACAGTTCATCTTATGGCTAGCTTTTGGTTGCGACCATGATCAATTGGCTATCGAACAAAATGAAATCAATTGGGGTACCATCGATTAATGCTTGCTCTTGGATTTCTACGACAGGTAGCTTAGATATGCGTATAGCTTGCGTTGAGGGTCAATACCCTCATTATTATTGGACTTAACTGTTTCTAAGTATCTAACTGGACAAAATACTTTCAAATAGGGTTTTGAAAAGGGTTATCATGTGTGTTCTTTAAAAAAAACATTTTTTTTCACTTTTACAGCCTAGTACTGTTATTGAAAAATGAAAAATAATTAAGCCCCCTGTTAGCCCTTAATATGGGGTCTTATGTGATTTTTCGGATTTTTATTGAATTCTCTAAGTTTGACCTTCAAATGAACTTGAAGGTAAGGTCGTATAGGTCATCTGACTTCAGATTTAAATTCAGCATCCTCGAAATCTATACAGTAATTGTTTCAGATGTTTTAACCGTTTTTTCATGATTTGACCTTTAAATGACTTTCAAATAACCTTAAATCTATCTGATATTGAAAAACCGACACCGGATTCGGATTCAGCGACCCCAAAAAAATCAAGTTCACGACGTCCGGTCTGTGGAACTGAAAATTTTTTTTTGTGTCTGTGTAATTTCGTAGAAAGAGATTAAAACATGAAGCTTTTTCATTTATTATATATTATGGGTCCAAAGTTCTTCGATTGGACGCGTTTTTAGTATGTAGCAATACATAAAAAACAGAGCTCCGAAACCGAAATTCTAGACCCCTAGGCCTTCTTATTATTGGCTTATTTTTAGTATCGAAATACATGACCTCAAATTCTTTAAGATTTTTTCAGAGAGGGCATTGTGTAGAGCTAAAAACCTCATTTTTAACATTTTCAAGACCTTCACGTTCAGTTTTATCGCGAAAAGCCGAATACCAAGTTGCTCATCGCGAAAATTTATTTTTTCTCCTCTTCCGACAGAAAGCTCGCTTTTCTACCCTGCTATTGGGGACGGAAGTAACAATTTTAATCTCTGCGCACCAGCACACTGACTATTATTGCGTCGACACAGCGCTACCATGTGTGCGTATATATGGGCAATTTGACCTCACAACAGACGGCCTTGAAGTCGTGCCATCAGTATGAGAACGCTGCAATGGCATACTATTTTTTGGTTAGAAAACTAGAAATAGCTGTAAAACATGCACATGACGGTGTATTTATTATTATATGTACACTACAAAATATACCTTAATTTGGTTATAAAACAAAAAAAATTAAATGCTACGAAGTAAGGGCCACCTGTGTATATAAGACACATAACCGAATTAAATATTCACTAGTTACTATTATGTCAAGAACAAGTACAGTAACAGTGACGCGTGTGGTACAAGAACAATGACACGTTTTAATAATTTAGCTTTTTTTACTTTTTGGTAAAATTCGAAGATTTTTCCTCTAAAGCATTATAAAAGAATGATTAAATTATATTTTGAGTTTCTAACTATGTAATTTATCAATTGTTCAATAAATGTGTTTGAGTCGTTACGAGAACTTAATTCAATTTGAGTTTCTAAACTGTTAAACCCTTTTTTGCCCAAAACGACCCAAACAACACGGCATTCTTCGAAGCTGTACAGTTTACGCAATTGACGTTAGAAAAAAATGCGACCTATTTTTTTTAAAGTTTGAAAGCTCTCCTTTTCAATGGTGGTATTTAAATTGTGCTAAAAAGTTATTAACATGGTGAAAAATTAGTTTAAACAAAAAAAGCCACAATTTTTTTCATGTTTTTTTTTGTTTTCAAACCAAATTTCAAATGTGTTCCGAGCTTGCCACGACCTTGAAAATACATCAAACCGTAGCATAAATGTTTTACCTTTAAAATGACATATATTATGTACCAAAAATTTGCCGGGAAGTTAACAAAATGGCGTCTGGAATGCTTAATATTTTTGTATACATTCATGAATTTTTTTCTCGATAAATATTAACTCTAGGAAAAAATTACGAAGAGTAAAAAAGTCTTAGAATTACTCAAAGAATACACTAGAATTTTTCAGAATTTTTTGAACAATTTTTAATGTTTTGCAAGATTATGCGAATTGCTAGTCTATAACTTAATTCAGTAGGCCCAAATTTGACGCTTTTTAATAGAATTTAGGTAGAGAGTAGTAGATGGTCCCAAAAATTCTGAAAAAATTCAAGCAAATTCTTTGAAAAATTTTAAAACTTTTGATCTCGCATGTTCACATTCAAGTACAGGGGTTCCTCGTATAACGCGGGGGTTACGTTCGAAACTTGTACCGCGTAATGTGAAACCGCGTTATACGGGACCTTAGTCTTATGGGAAAAGGGGGGTTCCGTTCCTGGTCATGAAAATTAGAGATGAAAAATTTCGTAAATTAAATGAAAATTTACATTTTTTTCAAATTGTACATGTATTTATATATTTTTAAAAAAATCCGTTATTTTTGAATGTTTGGCTCTTCTCAAAAAATCTTTATGAAGTTCTTCATAAATTTGAAGAACTTCTCAAGTATGAATGAAAAACCAGAGCTTGGTCGCGGATAGTTGCTGTGCTCATTGGGATTTTCTGTGCATCAGATCCTGTATCCAGATCATTAGCATTTCTTCGGTTTTCTCAATTAAATTCTGCCGGATTCTTGTAGAGCTTACAGCATGCTTTCCCAATATTTCTGCACTCTCACGTATCTTTTCTTCGTTTGAGCGAATTGTGCATATCGTCGATTCATTGACGTCGAAACGTCTAGCAATAACAGCCACTCGTTCACCACTTCTCAAAAGATTGAGCACTTTTAATTTTTCCGCGAGATTCAAGCCTTTCCTCGTTGTCTTTAACGATTTTCTTGGACTCGGTGCCATTGCAGTTAAATAAAAATATACATCAAATGATAGAAAGGACTCTCCAAAAAAATACGTGTATAGCGATGTCAAAAAAATAGGTTATTTAAAAAAATTGTACGCTTAAACAATGAACACTGCTACGTAAATACGCGTTATAGGGTTCCAAAAATCCGCGTTATATGAGGGGTCGAAACATTCAATAAACCGCGTTACAGGGTAAACCGCATTATAAGAACCCGCGTTATACGAGTAACTCCTGTACTTCTATATCGAAATAGAAAATAACAAAGATTTTTTTATATTGTGGAAAATCCTCTACAAAATGGGCCCTTAGGCTCATTGGATCAAACTAAGCATAGGGAGCTTCAGTATTAAGTACCAGAAGACCCCCAAAAAAGTTTGGTAAAGATCTGTGACCCGGATCTGAAAAGCTCTCCATGTCAGTTACCTTTTCGCTTATTGTGACCCCAAAAAAGTGTCTTCCTCTCAGTAAAGCTTACATCATATCATATCCAATCTGGGTTACTACCAATAAGGTCAGAAGAAAATTAGACTCGCTTTTCACACAACAATAAATGGTCATTCTTTACTTGAATTTTTTCAACATTAATCTTTTTCATCATTATCAATGCACCAGTAATTCCTGCAACATATCTACTTAATGGCAACACAATGTTGTACTACATTATAATTCATTATACAATTATTGTTATTGTCATTTATTATTATTAGCAACTAGTACGAATATTATTGATATTAGAAATCACTATTATTGATATCTCCATAATTCTGTATATTATTTGTATATAATTTTATAGTTTATCATTCAACTTACTTATGCGCAGATGGGGGTCGCAAATCAAATCAAAGCAAATCTGTCTCTCTCTCTCTCCACTCATACATTCGCACTACGCAATCTCACACACTCTCTCGCATCCGCGCGACCGACCAAGCTTATTACAATTTACGACCTTATCTTCGCTCTTATGCCTCGGCCTTCGTTCTTCGACGTTGTCTCCCGCTGTCCCCCAGCTGCTCCGTCCTCGTGGTCTGCCTGGTCCAAGGGCTCTTGCCTCGCCTCGGAGATGCCTCGGACGATTGATCAGAAGGTCGCTGTACAGCAAATGGCGTGGCTCGCTGCCTTCCGAGCCTCACGATCGCCTCGTCACCTCGCAACTCTTCTCTCGTCGCACTGAACTCCAGGCTCGAACACAGCCTCTCCACAGACACGACACACGAATTTCCGCTGCACGCTTCTTCACGACCAACTCCACCGCTGCCACACAGCTTCTCACACTCGACTTCTCACTCGGCCACACGTCCGTCGTCTCCGACGGTCTAATTGCGAATCTCCTGTGTGCACTGTCGCGCAGATCGACGACGCATCGAGCGCGAAGCGCTCGATTTGCACGGGTCGATCTACTCTTCAGTGCACGTGGTCAGAGAGACGCGTCCGAGGTTAATTTGGCTCTTCCTTTGCCCTGAACCTTGAACGCGCGCTCGGGTGATACTCGCTTTCCTACCTTATCCATACTTCGGTCGCGCACTCACTCATACATCCACGCATTACAGCTCGCGTAATTTGCGTCAAATACCGCCCAGTGACATCGTCACAACTTATAGCAGAAATGAACGTTTTCGATAAAAATTATCAGCACTATACGACTTATAAAATTTTGCTTTTTATATAGTTTTAAAGAACTTCTAAGGAAAATTGGTTACGAATTGGAGCATATGTTTTTCAATTGTCTAGTTGTGGTACTCCATTGAGATTCTAATCTAATCGAATGGAATCTCTCGCTTTGAAAATAAATCTGTAAATCTTTTCCACTTGACCTGTATGCTTACGATAATCATTTACTGTCACTAAAATATCGATATAGTTATATAAAAAAAAAAAGTAAAAATATTTATCATGTTATGTAATTCATTATTACTAATATATCAAGCAATACGTTGGTAGTAAATTTTAAATTTTGATTTTCAGGGATGATCATGGAAATCACTTGTTGTGGAATGCAAATAGATGATTCAAAATGTGTCTTGAAGAACATAATATCTCTTCGATAGTTATTTAAATGGATTAGCAATATTTGTTATTATTCTCACAATTTTTACGGTCATCTTTTAGTAAAATTCAATTCAAGTTTGAAAATCAAGACGAAAAATAATAACCTTTAATGAAAATAAATACGCTTAATACTCAATATTTGATTATAAATTTTTTATTTCACATATTATCTATTGGAATTGCTTATCTTCTATTTATTTATGTTGCTGTACACAGACGTGAAAACTGCTTCCGTATTCTCTACCTGAATTACATGGTAATTTTACTAACATAATTTTTTTATCCTTATGCATTAGGATTTCACTTATTTAATGGCATATAACTTCGATTTCCAATTGATTTTTTTTCATAAGGGGAATACATCACTAGGATTTTTGAAAATCGATTTTTTTTATTTTTACCTAAAAAGCCTTCTTTAACTGAGTAGAATAAAGCATAATTAGTTTATAGGATAAAAATAATTTTGATGTGTTTTATTTTTAATTTTAATACGAGAGCTAAATGGACTAGAAAACAACTTTTCTTACCATGAACTAATCGAGCTGAATAAATATAAATGGCCGATTCTCTGTGAAATCGAATGGCCAAAAAAATTTTTTCTGCAAATGTGAAAAACTTGTTGTATTTGATGTCAGATATGTCCCAAAAAAATGTTAGAAAAATTGGGACCTTCTATGACACTTTTTCAGAGGCCCAAAGTTGGCCATTTTAGGGTTTTTTTGAAATTCATGAAAAATCACAAATATTCAAATAATTCCTGGATGAGGGTAGAATGATTCAAAAGTAAAAGTGCCCAGGAACTTTTTTTTTGGAAATTGTCCAAATTTTCAGAAAAAAAGTATGCCAAAGTGATTAGAGCTATCTAGTAAAGTGAAAAGCTCTTAAAAGTTGAAAAAACACAGAACGAGAAATCTACTGGAGTTCGAACCGGACTTTCATTTCCTAAACTATGTAAAAAGCTTCCCAAAGATGTCAACTACTGCCTGATAAAGTTTTGTAATGAGTCTTAAAGTTTAACGCAATGTAGACAACAATGTGTAGCGAAAAACGTGCAAAAAGTGGAAAAGAATTTTATTACAAAACTTTTGAGACAGCAAGGATCCGGATTGGTAAAAAATTACATTCAAAATCATGCGGTCAATGACTTAGAAATCAAAAGTCAATATACTTGTTTGATGGATAATTTTCAATAATAAGAGGAACAAGAGACATATTTTTTGTTGTACAAGGACCTATAAAAACATATTTTTACATCAGAAACAAAAAATTGTAATAGTAATCCTTAATTTTCATGTTTTTCATTTATAGATATACACACAAGTGTGCCCCGGTAAGGTTTTTAGGGTCATTTTAAACAAAAAAGTGCTCTTGCCAATTTTCTCTAAAATCTATTTTTCACGAGTTATAATCGATTCAAATTTAAACAATTTCCAGCAATGAATCTTTGCGGTTTTTTATCTCAATAAGGATGAGCTCTACTAAAAATTTAAAAAGAACAGATAAGTCTTAGAATTTGTCAAGGAAAGCGTATGAATTGTTCCAGATTTTTTCTGGACATATGCCCGAATTTGTAAGTCAGGTTCTGAGGGAACTACCTTAAGTCAGATCGGAGTACAGTATGCCCTCCGTATATGCGGGGGTTATGTTCCAAAAAAGCACCGCGTACGAGGAAACCGTGTATACTGAAACCAAGCTCTTATAGAATGTCAGGGGTTGCATTTCTAGGAATCTCAAAATTTAAGAAACATGGACATAAAAATGATGAAATTAACTTATATTGAATACTTTATTGTGAAAAAAAGTCAGTTATACGCGATTGCTTGATTTCTCTTTGATATTCTTTGTATATATCTTCGTAGATTTCAACTATTGAAGAACATATATGTTTAAAGTGCATGCTTCGAGTTAATACGGAGTCTTCAGCTACAACTTGAGCAATCAATTCTTCAAAGACATTGACGATTTTCTTTACTGTAAAAGTATGAAAATGCTTTTCCAAGCCTTTCATCTCACTTTCATCCTCCGTTTTTCCTTCTGTAGGACTTTCCAAAATATATTCAGTTTCTTCAGTAGATAAAAATTCTTCACTTGGCGAAATAATTTTTAAAATTTCAGATTCATGAACATCTTCAAAACCCGGACCGCCTAATTCTCGTGTTAAATTAATTACAGATTCAAGAATCTGAACCGAAAACCAACTCCAGCAATAATTTAGACCAACTTGCATTGAGAATTTGCTCCGAAATCTCTTGCCAAGACTCCCCAATCAAACCTACACCGTCCAAAATCGAAAATTTTTTCCAAAAACTCTTTACGGATTGCTGTCCACGAAAATTTTCATCGTCTCTGTGATTTTTGTCAAATCTCAATGTATCTTTCATTACGATAAATCAATCTATAAAGATTTAGAGGATCGCAGTTGCCACACTCTGATGTATTCGTAATGCAATATACTTTCGCGTATCTTGAGAAATCGTCTATGAAAACTACAATCCATCTCTTATTTCCGGGAAATGAGGTTGGGGTTATCAGCCCCATTGTATCTGTAAGTTCTTGTCGTTGGCCGCTCTATCTGGGTACTCACACAAACCAGACAGGCGGTTACAGGGATAGAGGACAGAAGGGCGGTAAAATGAGTAGGCCGACATTGAGTGCTTAGTTGGGCTTGTATTGTTGGATTTCGGAGCTCGCTGTGAAGCGACCAGCTCGGGCGACTGCTCTGAATGATCTGAGCTACGGTGTGCGCTGCGCGCTTACGGCGCTTTAAACTTGGTATGTTCGAGGCGTCAAGTCGACGCCGTCATATAATGGCTAGTGACGGAGCGTTTCACCTACATTGCTCCCCCCCAGTGGATTCGACGGGGTCGCACACACGACACAAAAAACATGTATGAAACGCATTACAATTATACCAACGCGTTTACATTGAAAAAGGCGCACTGCAGCAAAAAAATTGTACATGTATGAAACAAAATATAATTATACGCACTTAGTGCAACAATAGGTAAATGAAAACAGCGTTAAAATATAAATACGCTCTGGAAATCTAACAAAAATATTTATACTTCTTAATTCGAAGCTGCCCAAGTACATATTATATGATTGCGTTAACAATAAATAACACTTTTTATTTTTTAAGTGTAGAATAGGCACGCAGGCTTAATACATTTTATATCGTCGATGCTTCTTAATTGAAGCTTAAAATAATCATGGGTTTACATATGCTGTTTTCAATGCAGTAAAAAAATAACAATTTTGATTTATTTTTAATCAATAATACGGACACGTTGGAATTTCAACACTTAAGATTATAACTGCTACGCAGTTAAATAAAAGTGTATACTTGTGTTTATGAGTTACTGATGCATGAACATACATTTTGACTGACATACTCATACTTCTACATTATGATTCTCGAGAGAGTACCATCACGCGACAACTCAAGCAGCAGCAGCATAGCCTCGGGTTGACTATTTACAAGGAAGCTGCATTTATAAAATTTTACGTATTTGATAATCAAATTGTCTCTCAAAAAATCAATAATTGGTCGACAAGCAATCTCGCCACAATCGCTCAGAGTCAAGGATTCGACTCACGCAAAAAATCTCCTTGGAGAAGACGATTGCCAAAGACGCGAAGCTGTCTCGCGCGCGACCGCAATAAAGTCTTACTAAACCCCAGAAGAGATGTGTTGTTAAAAATCGAAGTTAAAGATTTAAAAGCTAATAATGGAGGTCTCTGCGCAAAAATCAGCCAAGACACGAATAGACAAAAATAGCTAGCCGTTGCCTACCACCTCCAGGGAAAAATTTCTCCTTTCACGAACGGTGACTTGGACATTATTCGGTCTAGACCGATGCTCAGAGATGCTCTCCTCGTCAAAACTTTTCAGACTGGTCGAAGTCAGACCCAGAAACATTCGACACGCCGCAACGCAAGCCAGTCGAGATTATGACCGCAATTTTGCCCCATGCGTCTGGTAAGACGTGCATGTCGGGTCCGGCTAAAAAATAACGTGTATTTTACTAGTACGCTGCAAATTGCCAGCTTATTACTGGTAATAAGCGAAACAAATCCGCGGGCCACGATCGAGCCTGATGCGTCCATCAGACATTAACACGTCAGATCGGGCAATAAATAAAATTATTTTAATAAATCACGTCCCAAGATTAGGTAGGGCACGTCTGCTACAACGAAGGTTCATAAAAGAGACAATTCTTCGGAGAATTTAAGATTTGATACTTTAGTATCATAAATTGGATAGGCAGCTAATTGGCTGCTATAATGCCTAAGATCACGGGTCTCGCCTCCCGCTCACCTGGCCTAGGAATAACTGAAACTTTGGCGTTCGAATCTACAATAAATTAATTTCGAATTTATATCCTCGATATGGAGACGAATTACATCATCCGACGTAGGAGTCTCCGTTTTTTCAAAAGGGTCGAGGGTTTTATGAAGACGAAGAACTAGTAGAATTCGAACTACCGTCGCTCGGACCGCCTTTGTCGCGCGCTTTTGTGAACTGTTTCTATTCTTGCCGGGATTACGCCTGTCTCGATTTCGACTATTACGATATGATGCTAAAGTGTCTAATACTTGATCGAGCTTCTGCTCCAAATTAAAAATACGCCCATCATAGTCGCGTCCCGCATGATTTTGAACAATACTATCAATGCCATACGATGCTCTGCTATCCGCGTCGCGCCTAAAAGATGCGTAAATTCGATCAGCTTTTCTTACGTTACTCGATTCGTTTTCTTGATTTATGACATCGTCTAAATGAACGCCAATATTCGCCGGGATCGTCTCGCACCAAATACGTAAAATCGTATCTCTACCTAAAATACTACCCGCGCTTGAAATTAAATGCTCTAAAAATTCCGACGGCGAACGCGTACCCATATTAACGTTACCCAAAATATTCTTAAGATTTTCTGAACCGCTGACAGTGAATTTACGCACTAACGCGTCTTTTAACTTTTCGTACCTGTCACCGGCCGACGCTGAATCGATAGCAGCGGACACAGTCGCGATCAAGTCCTCGTCCAAATTACTAATCGCACACCTATATTTATCCGCGTCATCAACAATATTCTTAGCAACAAAGTGCTCCTCTAAAGTATCAAACCAAATACG